AGCTGTCGACTTTAAGTCTGTGTCCATGTCCAACCAGAGCCAGGTAAAGTGTAGTTGGTGCTTTTAATCAGTTTTCAGTTAAATTAATTCAGTCCAACTCTATAACAGTCAACAAAATCACTCTGTCCCTCTAAAATCTTTCAGAAAATCGCAAAAGTGTATTGAATTGTATCGTCTGATGAATATCGCAATATGTATTGTATCATGGACAGAATATCGTGTATCGTATCGTATCGTAAGATTACTGTATCTGTACCTACTTCTAACATCTATTTCCAAAAGAAGTTTAATGGTAGATTTCCGCTTTTATTTCAGCTAATAAATTAGAAATTGGTAGAAGAGATTCCATGAGAGTGTCATAAAATCAAACTGTAAAATATCAAAACTGTTAGATGGAATCCATTTTTTTCCCATTTCTGCATGAAAATGTAGGCTAATATGTCACGGGTAGATATATTTTTGGACTCTAAAGGTTTCCCTTTACACCATCATGCCTTCACTCTCTAGTTTTCCATCTGCCATCTCTGCTTCACAATCTTATCAGAGCTTTTGCAGAAGGGACTCCAGAGAGCTGCAGAGAAAAGGCCTGTGGAGAGTGTGAATGTGTGAAGCACACTGGGCCCAACACCACCGACAGATAAACAGTTTATCAGCCGGTTGGAGAAACTCCGCTGGAAAAAGGGGGAAATCTTTCCAAAGATGGGACAAAACTGGAGCGGGCAAATGGAAAGAGGCGGGTAGAAGTAGAAAATAAGAAAAGCAGGTAAACCAGAGGTAAGCAGCAGCTGTTATAAAGCGAGGCCCATTACATCGCAGTGGCCAGACAAGCCCGGTCTTTCAACTCAAGAGGTGAATTTCAGAAATGAAGCCGCTGATGAAAATGATAAAAAAGCATAATTCTCGTATCCCGTCACTGCAGAGGCGCTTGACATTTCTGATGACATTTGAGCCTTTTTGAATCCGCTTGCAAACGCTGCATTTCATCCCGTCGTAACGCTACACTTCAGAAAAGAAAAAAAAAATCCTTTATCTGCAAGATTATGCCGCTGTATTATATGAAGGTATTATGCAGCGCTAATAGTGCATGTAGATACCCCACAAATGATACTAAAAATGCCTCGCATAACATACAAGGAGGATTTGGCCCTTCAATAAAAGAATACTTCCGAGTATGCAAATACCCACAAAAGAATTGGGGCTTAACAGATTTGACTAGCTCAAACAAAGGCGTGAGGCTCTTTTCCCAGGATGCAACTGTCCGTCAGTTTGTAGGATTAAGGCTCTGGGTTGTGACAATGTGCTGAATGAAAGAGGACAAAGAGACATTTCCTTTATTACAGGGATATGATTATAAGTGCATCTTTTTTTTATGTATGGCTAACGAATGATTAAAGCCCGAGGAAGGAGATGGAGTGAGAAGCCGAGGCCGCACACTGCCCCCTGTAGGACAGTCATGCTCATGGCGCCTGGGTTCCTTTCAAAGGCAACATCTATATTCATAAGACCATGGCAACATGCTTTATTAATAAGCATAAAATAAAATACATTAATTTATTTTTTCATCTGTTTCCTTCCAAATGGATCTGAATTATTAACTTATGGGCTCTTCATATCAGTTATCCTAAACATTTTGCACAGAACCTCTTCAACCTCATGTCTAATAGAATAATATCAGAATATTCCTTAGTCAGAAAAGACCAAAATTATAAAAACAAATAAAAACAAACTTGATGAAACACCCACGGGTCCAGTCAGAAGTTGCCATTCATCTTAAGTCATGGTTGTTGGATTAATCTAGTATTAATACAACATGAAGACAGAAAACATGCATAAGACACACCGAAGTACGAGTCACATTTATTTAGAAACTGTTAAATGAAACCTTGTTCATGTTGTCCACTATGTGTTTCTTTCCACATACCTCAGTTTTGTGGAAATAATGATCAGAACTTGTTCTGTTAGCAGATTAAATTACCTCTCTGCGAGTTAACCTGGGCAAATTGGATGCTTTTCTGAATAACGCTCTCTTAGTCAAACAATCCACAAATCTGGCCTTTATGGAAGGAGGTTAAAGCTGCAGTATATAACTTTTATTTAAAAATGTCTTTTTTATATATGTGTTAAAGCTGTCACCATGTTGTCACAGTTTGTCATGATGAGACAGATCATCTGTGAAAAGTCCAGTCTCTTTCACCTCCTCCATGCTAATCCTGGTCTCCCTGGTCTGAAAGTCTCAGTTTTCAGTTCGCCTTGCAGGGGAAACACCAGAAAATCTTCCACTGAGAACAAAATTAAATGTTTTATCTGGAAGCTTTAGGGATGGATCTCATTATAGCAACATGACAACTCTGACCCTTTGCACTTGGCCAAATGAAATTAATTTCTTCAGGCTTGCTTCGATCCATTTATGACGGCATCAGCGATTGGATTCTGTTCTCTAAAATAATACCTCTGTGAGAATTTGGACTCCCCTCGTGGTGCAGGCTGACTCTGAGCTGCACGTTGTGATGGTTTTGCCTCCTTATCAGCCCAAGCAGCTCCTGCGACGGCTCACCACCCAATCACACTTCACTCGCCTCTGCTAATAAGAAAATAAACTGCAGCAGATCCAGCTTCAACAAGAGAAGGGAAGTGTTACAGGTTAACCAATGCTGGTGGGATTACTCACCTGCTAATCTAGATTGTAGATGCAAGGTCAGCATTTTTCAGCTGGAGCCAGAACAGCTGAGGGAAGAAACCTGGATGGATTCCAGCATCCACCTCTACAGCGGACGGTTATTTTAAACCCAAAACGAGACAGTTGTGACTCCTGGAAACGCATCGATAATTACTCCATGTATCCAGAACATCCCCTGATGAGCTACATTCATTTTACTCTCAATCCTGATGGATTTTTTGTTTATCTTAAACAATATGCTTTATTTTTCTTCCAGTTTTTCTGTCTTTGTGGTCAATAACTTTTCGGTTTTGTTCAAAATTATCCATGCGATCTATTAGCATTGTTTATTCTTCTTTTGAGTCTCTTATTTTAAGAAGCTGTCACTGTTTTAGAAATTTAAAACATTTATTATTAACATATTTAATGCAATGTGCTTGCAAAATGAATACTGGAGAACAACAAATGTTGGAAAAATTTAAGCAAATTATACTCTTTTCACTAAAAAAAACCCCTAAATAATATACAAATATTTCTTGATATATAAAATGACTTCAAATAAATGTACAATAAAACAGCAGCCAAACCTGCTGCTTCACCATTTGGCCCATGAAGTTGACATCGAATTGAAAATCGTTGAAGTGCAGAATTTTCTTCTAAAAGTGCAAAAACATGGACCAAGTGAGGAAGAAACAAGAACATTTTAGTCAGATTTTATGTGTTTCAATGAGTAAATAAGTGTTGGATGTTTTATGAGAACATGAAACTAAATGCCAAGCTTTGCTCACAATGCTAAGTAATCAAGAGCACCTGATGCACAAAGTGTGTGCAATTTTCTGCCTTCATGTTTTCCCCTCCACATTTTTCATTCTTAAGTTTTGATAAATTTGATATGACATGACCAGAAACCAGGCTCTTTTGCTATGATGCCTTAACCTTTTTTTTTTTTTTTTACATTGCTGCAAGCAGCATTTTTTCAACCAGCGCATATAAACAAAACAAAAAGATGATCCGAGATCCTGCAAGCTTGCAAGATGTGAGAAAATAGACATCTGGCTGTAAAAGGCAGTAAAAGATGAGGAATCTGCGCATATTGCTGACAGAGAGGGGTGTGAGGTTTACTTGAGAGCTGCTTGCTGCTCAGATTTTTGCACAGGAGAGGAAGAACGAGGAAGTGCCGACCTCTCTGGCCCTCAGGCTGCCAGCAGAGAAAGGAAGCAGAGCCTTCAGGGCGGACCAACCGCTGACAACCATCTACTCCTCACCCAGCAGCAGCTTTGTGGGGATTCTGTCCTTGGGGATTCTGCCTGCTGGACGTGAGGAGCATTCGGACAGCGATTAGCTCGGTGCACGAGCAGCAACTTTCAAAGCACACCACCTGGTAGCACATCTTAACCCAGAAATAGACGCCCAATAAATCTGCACACATCATAAATTTAAAGGCATGTCATTTACCGCTTTTCCTTTTCAGATTATGTCGAGATATTATTTCATATTCAAAGTGTAGAAATATGTGTAAAAGCAGGAAACCATAGAGAAGAGAAGCAAAGGAGCAATGTTTCAGTTAGAAAATCTGCTTTAGTAATATTCCAAATGCATTTTCATCGATATAATAGCCTGACAATTTCTGCTTTACAAAAAAAGATTTTAAAATTTGTTCCAGTCAAATAAACCACTATAAATTCTCACATTTGAAAGTTGCATTTTGTTTTTCAGACTTATGAGTTATGCCACAGTGTTTGTTTAGGTTTGCCAATTAATTGGTAGAAATGACATTTTATTTTTGCTCTGTCAGAATTGCTTTTATTCATCAGAACTGGCTTTAATGACAGTTACATTAATAAAAATAAGTAGATTACAAGAATAAAGTCAATATATCGAGATTGAGAATAAAAATAGCAAAAAATGGTTACGAGAATATTATTGACTGTCATACAGCTTTATTCTTGTAATGACTAATACTTTTCCTTTTACTTTATTCTATATTGACTTTATTCTCAAAACATTTCTGCTGTAATCTCAAGATGATTATCATAATACTGACTTAAAATACAACATTTTACTTGTACACATTGTAAACTTTATTTTTTCCATTCGTTTTATTTCAGGCCTGGCCCTACTCCATCGTAGGTTGACCTCCTGGGGGTCTTACAATAAGGTGAGAAGTGATTCTTCACTGCTGTAAGCCTGTATTAGAGGTTTTCTCCAGCTTAGAAAACTGGACCCGACTGTCTACATGCTGTGGTACCAGGTAGGAAGATTTAAGCAGGCAGTTATACAAACTACAGCCAATACAACATGCAGGCATGGCTGCACGTTTATATTAGCAGATAAAACAGAGAAATGGTGTTTTGTTGAGATTTTAATTGAACACATTGCATACAGTGGAATATTATTTAGAAAAAGAGAAAAAAAGGCATCTTAAAGAATGCAGACAAACTTGGTTATGGATTACAACTTTCCGCTCTCCTGTGGGTCGATGTAGCCGTCTGCAGGCAGCAGAGAGCTGAAGCGCAGCAGGCGCAGATCCACAGGGGGGCAGCGCTCCTTCCCTGGAGCCCAGCTATCCCTGCCTCCTCTTGCAGGCGGAGGCGGAGGGGGGAGGTCACAGTCAGTGGGAGTGGAGTAACTGTCGTCAGGTTGGAGATGGTTGTTGTTTGGGTCGGGTGGGGAAATGCTGCTGGGGCAGCGGACTATGAAGCCTCCGTAGTGATGGCGGTGGTAGAGCGTGCCGGCCACCGCCAGCAGCGTCAGGATGAGGGAGCTGAGCAGGAAGAACAGGATGTAGACACCTTTAGTCTCCGAGGACAGGCCGGATCCGCAACCTGCAGGCAGATAAAACAGCTGATGTCCAGAAATGTTTATGGCAAGTCTGGCTACAATCAAGGAGAAATGTTTCATGTCTGGTTTAAAAACTTATGTTTCCATACTTTACAGGGGCAGGATTATGTAAAAAACTTTATGTCATGTCATGGTATTCCCTCATCAAAAACATACCCAATGTGTTGAACTGATTCTTTCATGCATGTTTGGGAAATCCTTTAATCTCCATGGCAACCATTCAGCTGTGCAAAATGCCAAGGTGGACTTAGCCCCGCCTTCCAGACACAGCTCCTCCTCAGAGCTGCAGTTTCCAAACTACCAAGCTTCCCCCGTGACTCACTCAGCTCCTTCAGACTAGCCAGCAGCATTTAGCAGACACCTGGTGGAACTGTGCATCTGCTAAATACGAGATACTTCTCAGTGCAACGCTGATAAAAACGTTATTAAAGGGTCAATAGAGGAGGGATGTTGTGACAACTTCCTGAAGGCGGCGTTTCAGAAAGAACAGGAGTTTCTTAAAGAGACAGGCCCCATTTCAAGGTGCTAAATTATGAGGTCCCATTGTTTTAAAGTCAATTATAGCATTTTTCTAACAACTGAAGGTGATTTGACTGTTATAAAATGGCTGGAAAACATAATGCTGCCCCTTTAAATGTTTCAGTATTTTTTGATAAAGACAAAATAAACTACATCAATAAGATAATGGAACAACAATTCTGGACATAAAATTTGTTTTGATTCACAAGTCAGTTAATATCACGATAGACACGTGAACAATATCAATGGGAAATGCATCCAATGAAATGTTCAATGTCCTTCTTGACACCAGGCCTGTTGGGTCACAATCCAATAAGGATTTCTTTACTGAATCGTTTTCAGGAGAGTGAGCTTGCAAATTTTTAACTTTTTTAGGCAGTTTTTTTGCACAACACCTCAACATTTTCTTGAAGTTTATAATGAAATTTTGATGCAATCTCTGATAGCAGCAAAATCCTTTCATCAGGAAAGCCCTTTGATGCAAAGCCAGAGTAATAGCTTGGGTTTCTTTGTGGTTAAACTAATGATTGCTCCAACATCATAAACCCATGTAAATTGATAACTGTAGTTTAAAAACTTTAAGCTGTGCAGTCGGTCAGAGCAACCGTACCTGCTGGCTGCGCCTCCATGCAGGTGGTTCCCCCGGATCCCAGACGGGACTCATCCCTAAAGCCTGCTCTGCAGCGGCAGGCGTATGTGCCAAAATGGTTCTCACAGTCTGCGTTAGCGTCGCACAGAACCAGCTGGGTCCCACATTCATTCACATCTGAAAGAAACGCACACAGCTGGCCACTGATTACACAAATAACATCCGTTTTCAACCTTTCCTACATTAAGCTCTTTTACTACAAAAAGATTCAGCAGTTTTCAGAAACTTTAGTGGAAAGTTAGTCAACGACCTGACATTTGTTTTTGAGCTGTTCAGCATCTTCATAGCATCTCATCTAAACCCAGTCCATGTCAGAGATTCAGTGAAGCCCCGACGCGATACCTGCCGTGGACACAGACATGATGACGGCGGTCCTGTGGTTGACTCTCAGGTTGGCGCCCGTGGCGAGGAGCCCCTGCATGGCTGAGTGGACAGCCCTGTGGATCTGCACGCCTCCAGGCCCATGACTGATCTGCAGCCAAAGGATGTAGAGCGCTCCTGCATTCAGCCTGCACACAGGATCACCATGACACAGTTTTCACAAACTATTCTTTATTTCACTGGACTTTTGATTTTCTATCTCCAAAAAGAAGCTTAACATCTTAGGCTACACAGCAGGCGGTTGCGACACAAATCTGTTTTTTTTTGCCCATATGTGACCTACTATCCAACTTTTTCACTAGTCTGATTGACCCAATTCCAGTCTTTTCACCCCCAAAAATCAAATACACATCCAACTGTTCTCAAAGTGTCTGCAGTCTGAACAAATTTTATCAGGTTTTTATGTCATTGATGTGAAACACAAATCATAATTCTGCACCAGAAAGACACAATAAAGCCAGACGTAAACGATGGCTAAAAATATTCTGAAAGTATGAAGTCTGTTCAGTGCATCACAACATAATCCCACCACTCAGTTCTGACTACGCAAGGCCATCGCTAATAGTTGTGCTCTCTTTTTATTAGCTTGCTTTGTCTTATTATGATCTTGTGACAATACTGTTGGCCGTTATTGTTGACTAAGCTTTAAAATCTGTCTATAAACAGCGCGCTGTTGTGTGACAACGTTCTTGACGTCACCCACATGCAGGTCGCTTTGGTGTTGTAAACTGTTGGCAAAGAAGTCAGATTACAGTCTGGTTTAATTAATTAGTTCATCAATTATGAATACCATAAAAAAAATGGATTTCAGTAACAAAATAAAAATAAAACCAGAATTGAGCATCAAAACATGCTGTGTGGTCGTAGCCTAACCGGCTGTTCTGACCAAACCTCTTAATTCTTTTTGACGAGAGGGAAAGTCGTGTGTGAAGAGCTTCCAGCTGTTTGCTGATCTGCAGAAACACAAAAGGTAAGTGAGCTTGTTTCAGATCGGTGAAATGCCGTTTCTTGTGTTCAGATCATAAAGTTTTCTCTTTTGAAACAACAGACCAAAGTCTTCACTGACAGCAGCAGCAGCTGAGCCAGACTGTCCCAGGAATCCTCCACATCGTGACTGAAGTTCACCTCAACAGCCACTTCAAACAGGTGATCTGTCAACAGACCCAACACATGTCAAACCGACCCAAAATAAATCAGAGAAAGCTGCTTTAGAACGCAGCAGAATCCTACTGAGGGTATTAGAGTAATTGTACATAGAAAACATTTTGAGATTAATCTCAAATTTTCTAGAAAAAAATTTATTTAAAAACATAGATTTTAGAAACTCACATTACCAAGTTTTTTTTGTAGAAAATCTTTTAGATTGATCTCAAAATTGCAGAGTTTTTGGACAGAAATTTACAATTTACTTTTTAAAAAAAAAATCGACAATGGTTCTCGTACGCCGTCGTAGGATTCTACAAAATTATTGGTGAAAAACAAATTTTTATTTTTGCCATTTTTTACTTTAAGTCCTACTCACCACCAGGCAGATGTGGACTCTCCGATTTATTTTTCATGTTTGCTGTGAGTCACACAGAAGAAAACACATCGTCAGATTAAAGAACTCAACATTCACTTTGTTCTTTTGTGCTGTAATTTGAGCTCTCCGAACCTTATAGTTGCATGGAAATTAGGATGCACTGTGTAAGTTTAAATCCCAGCTCTCTGTACTCATCAGTAACTCCTGAAAGCAGTCAAGTAGAAAACTTAAACCAGGATCTTTCGAGGGGACATTCTGGATTCTTGGTTTTTGTTTTAAAGACCAAATCTTTTTGTTTTGTGTGCAGAGATAAAATCAATCAAGTAAAAGCAGTTTCTATGGTTAAGACTTCACTCATCACAAATCTCCAAGTAAAGGTGGCTCATCTAAAATGTAGTTTGAGCAACAGTTACTTCAGTACTTTGTTGACAGCAGGAGTGGGGAAGGCCATGAAAGGGGAGTTTGGATTATCTGAAGTCAGGTTCAGAGAAATCATCAGAAATTGATTTTTTTTTTTTTTAATAGCAAATATCTCCTCTAGCTAGCAAGCTACTCAGAGAGACTTTTGGCAAAATTTTGACATTTAAAATGTTCATAAATTGGGTATGATGCTGAAACATCACAACAGACCCATTTTTACTTTTGATTCTGTGCTACTAATACACTGTATTGTAAGTAGTCTGTCATGTATTTTAAAGTTCAATACACATTGTAAGAAAAAGCATCATCCTACTTAGTTGCACATCCCATGTATCAAGTACAACATTTTATTTGGTGCGACTTGATATCCGGTAACTGCTGTTGCGCCTGAATTTCCCCTTTATGGAACAATAAATGCCATTTCTATTTTGTTGTATTCTTATATTAAATCCAAAAATCTGGAAGATTTAAGGAACTAATAGTTCAGCTAAAATCATTTGTAGCTGCAGAAAACCAATTTGATTTCAGGGTTTAGACCTGCTTTAGGACCTTTTGGTTCTACTGAAAGGGAAATTAAGATTTTTCAACATCTCATGAATCAACATCACATGTGAACAAGCAAGCATAAATCTGCAGAATCCAGACAGACTGATAGACTCACAGTTCCCTTTGTGTTCAGACTGGGGTTCCACCACTTTAGTCTGGTTATGCTTGTGGTCCGTATTCTGGGTTTCTGTGCCGTCAGAAGAAGAAGATATTTGCTGGTCTGACGCCTGATTGACCCGCAGTCTGCCATCTGCTACTTTTTCCAACCATCAGGAGAGACCTTACCATTCAGGCTGCTCTCATCTGCAGACACAGCTTCCACCGTTTTCCCTTTTCTTGCTGTTGGAGTGTCGTTGCCAGGTTTGAGCTCAACATGCGGCTGTGGTGGCAGGATTACAGAGCGACCGGCCGAGTCGGCCTGGCCGGAAAGGCTGCGAGTGGCTCCTCTTCCTGACCGGAACGTCCTCTGGGTGGACGTCGGTGCAGCCGTAGGCTGGTAGACATGGGAGTAGTTCTTCAGGGGTGGATAGCGGGTTTTAACTGCCTGAAAGTGGATAAGATTTCAGCTTTAAAGATTTATACAATCAAAAACATTTTTACTGTAATAGTTGTGGATTCTCTTCTTACAGCTTCACAGCATAATGTTCTGGACTTCAGCAAAAGTCTACAATATTTAAATATGGAGGTCTGAGGTTATAGATTATTAATACTCCTCGGTCATTTAATACACAAATTAGGATGGAAAACAGTACATTTAAAGGGGACCCATTAATTCACTTTTTGCTAGAGGTGCACCAATAAATTGGCCCCGATTTCCTTGATATTGGGAGATTTTTGATCAGTCGACACAGTGAAGCCGATCTTATCCATCAATCTTATCTACCTCGGCCAACGTCTAAAAATCAGCCACTGTCCTCTTTTTCTATTTTTGTGAGATGAGTTTGAGCGACAGGTCGGCCCACAAGGTCATGTTGGCATGTTTGCAGCTAACAATAGTCACCTCACTTTCACCAACTCAGCAACTTTCTTGCTACATTTAACAGTTGAGACAAAATCAGAATCAGCAGGTCAGACTTCTTAGAGATTCATAATCAGCGATCAGCCTGAAAGCTGCAATTTATTTCCATTTAAGTCTCAGTTACAAAAATCGGCCATCTGTTACCTTAAGAATATTTCCAAAATTAAAGGATTAAAGTCTCAGCAAGATCTAGAAAAACTCATCCTTGTGTATATCTGTATTTGCATTGATTGCTGCAACTGTGTCTTCACAGGTCTGCCGAAAAAACAAAAAGTCATCAAATAGATTCAGCTGATCCAGACGCTGCTGCTGGCGTTCTGACCAAAACCAGGAAGCTAGAGCACATCACCCAGTTCTAAAGTCCCTTCACTGGCTCCCTGTAGCTCAGAGAACAGACTTTAAATACTGCCGTTAGTTTATAAATTACTGAATGACATAACACTAACATACATTGCATCAATCCTCCAGAACTCTCAGGTCTTCTGGTTCTGGTCTGCATCTCCAGAACCAAACATGGAGAAGCTGCATTCAGCTTCTATGCACCAGAAATCTGGAATAAACTTAAAGAAAACTGCAAAATAGCTGAATCACTGAGTGCGTTTAAATCTAAACCAAAACCCAGCTGCTTAGAGTTGCTTTTGATTAATAATAACTGGAACATTAATTCATATATTTGCTTGATGATGGTATTTGACTAATGTTTATTCGAATTAGCTACTATGTTAGATACATCTTACAATGTCACTACTGACATAATCCTAACATGTTTCATTGCTTTTTCATTGAATTTGTGTGAAACCGCCTGGATGTGAGAGAGAACTCACCTCTGCACCTCCGTCTCCACCCAGCGGCACCCAGGGCAGCCCGGCCATCGCCAACTGCTGATCATAATAGTCATACGCCAGGTCATCGTTTTCCAGCTCCACGTTGTTTGCCAACGGCTCAAATTCACTCAGTCCAGGAGAACGTTCTGACTCCTGGCTTCTTCCTGTTGAGCCTTCCTGTGGGTTGTAAACCACCGGTGGTCCAAATGCTTGGTAGTGGCCATAAAAACCCCGGTAAGGAGGGTCAGGCCAGCCCCCGATCAGGAGCACCACATACAGAGTGTTGGAAGATGACGTGTACTTGGCTTCCTGCCAGCACTTCTGCAGCACCTTGTGGCCCCCTGAATGGGCGCCGGGCTCATCCACATGGATCTGGTCCTGTTTCAGTGGGCAGGCCTCATCAGGGGTCAAGTCCTCCAGGCGGAGATGAATCCTCTTCCCTGGCTCCACCTGAATGGTCCAGTTGCACCACAGAGGAGGGTTGGAGCACAAGTAGTCTGGGGAGAAAAACTCGCCGCTGTCGCTGTTCAACAGCTGGTGGCAGCTCCGCAGGGCGAAGAAAGCACTGCTGTCCCCTCTGGGTCCATCTGAAGAAGAAAAAACCAACCATGCGATAACGCTCAGAGCCTGACAAAATGTTCATGCTCCACTGGAGCTTCTATTGTCACATATAGGCCTGTCACCAGATGATAAAATGCAAGATATTGTTTTGAGATCGTTTTCTCAATAATTGTCACAAAAAGAGAATTTGGCAAAAAAAAAAAAAAAAAAAGGAAAAAAGAAAAATAAAAGTGCACCTTTCTTTTGCCAAAAAATTATTTAGGTAAAAAAATAAATAAATTAAAAAAATCACAGTTTTTTAACTAAAAAAAAAGAAAGAAAGAAAAAGAAATCACTTTTGGCAACAAAAAAGGAAAAAAAAACTGCCATTATTTAGTAAAGTGACAATAAAATGAATACCATAATAATAAAAACTTCCTCTGTCAAAGCCCAATAAACTATAATTTTGTAAAGAACACTTAACACTGTAAATGGGAGGTATTTTAACTATCATGACAACCAAAATAACTAAAATGGAAATAAGAACTACACTCAGTTAAAACTATAACTAAAATGGATTATGATGTCTCTAAACAAAATTGCCCTTCAAAAAAAATAGTAATATCAGAATGAAAATCAAGCTCATTTTAATTCATCATGCAATTAACTGATTAATTGCAACAGGCTTACACACCAGAGCTATGGTTTGAGATAAGTCTTTGTTAAGATGGAAAGCAACCAAGACATCACAGCTTACTGTAGATGTAATTTCACATTTTTTAAATTCAACCAAAAACAAAAAGATTGTCAGGAGCCCAATATTCTGCTAGTTGGTATGAATTTAATATTCTGTGGCATTACACCAATAAAACCCGCTTTAAATAAAACAGGAAGCTTTTCTGCATTTTTTTAAATGCTGTATTTTTACACTGTATAATTATTCACCTTATTTTTTACTGTTCAAGTTGTGCAAGTTCTTGACTAAATGGTAAAAAAAAAAAAAGAGAGAAAACACAAACGCATTCTCACATGGAAGCCTGTTGACTCCTTCTGTGTTCCCCTGCGGAGAAAAGACGGTCATGTAAATACAGCAACATGAAGAGTTAACCCAGAAGCAGCTGCTTTCGGGGGAACGTCTCCTTAACCAACCTGTGCGTCACAACGTTTCCCAAATGTCAACAGGAACACCAGCAGCGTGCTTGGAAAGTTGAAGCTGCTCCTTTTAGGCATTTTACTACCTTTACCTTTACTGTTCAACTTTTTATTGGAGTAAGAAAAAAAAAGAACCAGGTCAAAGAAAACTTCTCTGTTTCAGTCAAACTCCTTTCCCTTTCCTGTCCACGCAGGTGAACCTCATCAAGTAATGATTGGATTTCCTTTTACAGCCTGCGGGGATTATTTCGTCCAGCAGATGTCGCTGTAGTATTTCAAATTTGATCCGAGGATGGATGGATGTCTTAACTCCACAAGTAGGTTCAGTGTACTCCTGAAGTTTTTAGACAAATTACTTGTTTAAACAAGTAAAATACAACAACTAAGTAATACTGTCTCTTTTATGAACCTTTCAGCGATTCAAAAACAACAATAATATTCAATAAAAATACAATTTACAACTCAGCCTGTCGCAAAAAGCATATCACGATACATTATAATGATCTCAATAAATTCCACTGTGATTATTAATATTTTTTCAATGGCAATTTTGTTTACAGAGACATCATAATTAATTTTATGTATAGTTTCGGTTGTGTGTTATCATTTAAATTGTATTTATTGTTTTTGGTTGTGTGGTGTTTTATTTTTATTATTTAAAATATCTTCCAGCTCCAGTGTTACATGTTCTATACAAAATTAAAGTTTATTAGTCTTTAAGAGGACAAACTTGTTTTTGCCTTTATCATTAAATTACTTTAAAATGGTCTCAAAACAAAAAATATGATCATTTATTGCAATAAATATTGGGATAGTTTATCATTCAGCAGTGTTTGTTATTATGGCAGTCCTATTTATTAATTACATGATAAATTAAAATGATCTTGATAATTTCCATTATGATGATTAATATTTTTTGAAGGGCAGTTTTCAAGGATTCTTTTTGTTTACAGAGACTTCATAATCCATTTTATTTATGGTTTTGATTAAGTGTGATCAATATCAATAGATAGTGTAATAATTCCACCTGACCTCCAATCAGAACTGCATGGCATTCTGGGGGATGTAGGCAGAGGAAATGCTTTAGTGAGCTGACCAAGGTTGGTGGCATCAACTAACTCACTCACTCTTTGGTTACCTAGCAACAACCTGCAGAGTAACCTTCACAGGTGCAGTTTCAGGTTTTGCCACTCTGCCTCATAACTGCTTAAAAATAAATGAGTGTAAAGTGAAAGGAGAAAATGAGTCAAAAGGAAATTGTGGATAATAAAGGCAAGGTCATGCCTCCAGGTTGGCAGTATTTCAGATATTTAAAACAAGAAAATTAACCAATAAATATCTATATCAACTGATATGAAACACTTAGCGATGTTCTCAGACCTCATCCTCCTCAGTTACCTCCTCCAGTTCATTACAAAACCAGTAATTCACACAGTAACATTTTAATCCTTGTTCTTTAATGAAATACTCCTATTTAAATCAATAAAACTGTATAATTACTTTAAAGACGCATTTTTCATCTTTTGCAAAAATATGTTCTTTACATATTTGTTAAAACTGTCGTGACAGTACAGCATAAGATGGATAGTCTGTGAAAAGATCAGTTTTCTCCACCTCCTCTCTGAACTAGAATCAGCAGAAATGCACAGCTCCTGGTCAAAAACAACCAATCAGAGCCAGGAGGAGTGTCTTAGCGCTGTCAATCATCCTCATGTACGATCTGTTAAATGTGCTAATATTGTAGAAACAACTTACAGTTTCAGGAAAACTGCTTGGCTATGCTAACTAGCATAGTTAACATAACCAACTATGCTAGTTATGCTAGATTATGCTAGCATAATATGCTCCTTTGTGGTAGCAGAGAGAAAGGGGGAGAGTGAGTGCAGCTCATATATGAGGATGATTGACAGCAGTAAGACCCACCTCTTGGCTCTGATTGGTTATTTTTGATGGAGCTGTGTAGCAGGAACTGGGAGCACTGGCAGATTTTTTTCTCAGATTATCTCATATTATAATTTCATGGCATAATGACCATTTTAACAAATATGTAAAAAAAAAAACATATTTAAAATACTCAATGAAATGCAGAGAAGATTGTCTGACAACTTTAAAGCCAGTTGAAACGGGTCACTGGCAGCTCAGCTCAGGGTGAGTAATCCACTGCCAGATCTCCAGCATCTCCTGCGGTGTTCGACTGTGAACCAGCATCAGGCTTCTGTAGATGCATGGGTTGTCCCTGTACTTCTCTTCAATGTCAAACGTCCTAAATCCTGGGTGCTTTTCAGGCACCAGGCCCAGCTTCTCCAGACACATCCCTGTGTAGACATCGTCAATGGGATACAAGAGCACCTGCTGAGAAATGTTGGAAAGACGGATTGCTAAATCCCCAGAGAGCAGGTAGCCTCCACCGCCAGCATAAGGCGGGTACTGCCCCACAAATACACTCTCAGGGATAAAATACTTCAGTTTTGTGTTTCTGTGTGGACCTGCGTTCTTGATAACATCACCTATGAACAAATCTTTGCCTTTGCCCTTAGACAGGCCTCTTAGGAAGCCAATTATTTGTAAGGTGTTAACAAAGACGTCATCGTCACCCTTGAGAATATACTGAGCGTGAGGACAGTATGTGCTGAACCACTCTAGAAAAAGGACTTCTTTAAGGGTGAGGTTGAAGAATGTGTCCCTGTAGTCCCACTGCAGCAGGTCTTTGTGAAGCTTAGCCTCGTGGTTTAGCATCTCCTGCAGGTCGGGGAAGTTGTCCACCGATGAAGTACTGCCAAGCAGGAACACGGTCACCACACGCCGATTGGCTAAGAAGCCAGCGCGCCCCCATGTCTGGCGAATGGCCTGGCGCCGGTCGAAATGCGGCATCAGCGACTTGACCACCAGCAGAAGGAAGGGTTTTTTATCGCAGACGTGGGGCTGATTTATCAGCATTGGATACATCCTACAGCGCATGTGTAGGAGAAAGTCCTGGAACCGCTTTGGTAGGGTGTTGTAGTCCGAAACCTGCATTGGGACCCGGTAATCTGCTTCACATGGGTCAAGAGGTCCGGTATCATTAAGCCAATCCGGCAGAGAAATGAAGGAGCCTCCAAAGAGTTCTGCATTGATAAGCGGGTTGTTAATCACGTCCAAGCGCTGCTGCTCCTTGTTCCAGAAGGATTTGCTCACTAACGTTAGGTGCCAGAACCTCTTGGATGGAATCCGAATCCCCTTCGGACCGCCTTTGTGCCCAAGTTTCCATGAAACACCCACCAGAACACAGATGAAGATGTTTATCATCATCAACATGCAGAGGGCCTTTCCTTTCTTCCGGCCCAATGGCATGTGTGCACCCTGAATCTAGAAAAAAGAACCATATATTAGTAAACGAATACAACAGCAAATAAATGAAAAACCAGAAGAGCCATGTGAAGACTCACAGTAAAGGCAGAATGAATAGGAATATGCAGAAACATAATAGCCCACTTTGAAAGGATTGGGAGAAATATGTTACAAGTAGGTTAACGGGAAGTTTGATTCCCCAAAGTTTGGTTTTAGAGCTCAAACTTAGGCCACGTTTTCCCTCTTAATTCCCCAGGAACAAATTTTCCTCATCCCTTCTCTAGTCCCTCCTACTTTCTCCGTAACAAAGACAGGCAAGCAGGAATCATACGTTTCCAATTCAGCCATGCACATGACACCACTTTACAGGCAGCAGTGGCTCAGTGGGCTTAGACTGCACACACAAAGGGCCACATAAATATTAATATTAGAACTTTATTATGTGACTATGCAGTTCAAATAAAGTGTAACACATTTACACAAGAAAGTATTTAACCTGTCTGTCACGAGAGGACCCAAATTGGGTCCTCTCGTGACAGGGGTGTCAAACTCCAGTCCTCAAGGGCCGCTGTCCTGCAACTTTTAGATGTGCCTCTGCTGCACCACACCTGAAAAGAATAATTAGGTCATTAGCAAGGCTCAGGAGAACCGATCTACACAGGGAGGAGGTAATTAAGCCATTTCATTCCACTGTTTTTTACCTGTGGCACATCTAAACACTGCAGGACAGCGGCCCTTGAGGACTGGAGTTTGACACCCCTGTCATTGTGAATGACAACCTGTGAATGACAGGTTAATCACTTGTCACAATTAAGCAGGGAGTTGGGCAATCACAAACAATCCCAACAAACACAATGAAGAAACACAGTATTGTAATAAAATGAGGAAAAGCTACAAAGTATATCTTTTGCAAGATAATAAATGTGCTCTTTCTTCAGAAAAACACATTTTTTTATAGTTCAGACTGTGCCCAGAGCAAGTTTTGTACCAAAGAGGTGTTGCATACCTCAGAAAAGGCTGACACCATGCTGGCTGGGGGTGGCACTCACATTACCCCTAGTTTCACATGGATGCGCTCCAGCAAGGAGAAGCTTCTCTCTGTTTTTTCTGTAGCCATCAGGAATTCAAACTGTAAACATTAAAGCAGTAGGAACTGTTTTTGTTGAAGTGAATGTGATCATTCATCACACATATTATCCTAAGTAAACCTAATAAATGTTTATGCAAAGTTAAATGTGATTTATTACTAAATACACACAGCAAAAGGTGCCATCGTGTTCTGTGTGTTGGGCTGATATTCAAACAACATAAATGTTGATGTTAAATGGGTTAATTATTTTGTTAATATGCCACTAAGTGCAAAAAGATACAGACATAAAACTACTTCTAGATAGTTTTGTGGTGCGGTTTAGTCATAAACCACATGAGGAAATTACAATGGCGTATTAAGGCCACTGTCGAAAAAAAAACAAAAAACTTTTAAGACTTACTCTCAGAAATATTCTAGAAAAAAAGGACATTTCTGAATGCCAGAAGTCAAAAATCTTCAACTTTCAGAAATGTACTGAGTTACGTCTAAGTGTAACAGGGTTTTATTTAACAATATTGTAGATGTAAAGTTTGTCAAAATTTGTGTATTTATTCTTTGAATTAATTTTGTTCAGATCTGCTATGCTGCTCTCCGTGGTTACCATAGCAACTGGTAACTGACAGCTCCTCCGCCCCTTTTTTCTGTTGCCGTTGGTAACTGTGGTATGTATAAATATCAGCTCTGTGTTTTCTTTACAAATGTTTTTAACATACACTTTAGGCAAATTTAATAACATTCAGTGTTTCATGAGTAATTTTGCTATGTTTTGTTTACACTTTTAACTGTTATCATTATTAATGTTGTCCATTTTAGCTATGTTTAGTTTCACAAACGTTAACTGCCTCTAACTGCTGTCAGCTGCTCGTTGTTGGGAGCTATTGCTTTGTAATTTGTATCGGGTTATTTATTAAAACATTATTTATTTGCATTATCTCAGGCCACACATTACCTGTGTGAGGAGGAAATCCTCTCCTTAATTAAGTCATTTTTGGGCCAATCCTTGTGCTTTTTATTTATCTCTTCATTTATCTGTTGAATATGTGTTTTCAATAAAACAATTACTCTAGTATTATTTATTTTATTATCCTTTAGCTCCAGAGGGATGGCTTTCCTTTGTGTCAACATGTCAGAACATGAGTTATAGGCCAGTAGTTCCTCAGTAGTTGGTGGCTGCTTGATACCAGTAAAAAGTATAATTGCAATATTAGGTGCCATCGATTTCTATGTGTTGGTATAATGGTATAATATTGTGATCACAATATTTGGCTAAATGAATCTACATTTTTCTGACTCACAATGACCACGTCACTGTTTGTGAGTTGTAGCATCTAAGCCAACACACACAAGTGTCGGCAGTGAGGGGATGCCACCTTTTCAACATATTAAAAGATTTTATCGGCCTTCAGGATTTCTATGCATGGCACTCAGCAGTTGCACACAGTGGTATTGCAATGATGATTATGATACGAAATATTGTGTACCTCCAATCCTCAGTGTAAAAAAAAACAAAAAAAACAAAACTAATCTAATTCCGTACAGCACTTTGTACACGGATTCCAAGCCTTCTAATTTTTCATATTTTGTTATACTATAGTCACAAGCTTTACTGTATTTTACAGGGATTTTATGTGATAAACACACATTGAAGTGCATGACTGTAAAGATGATAGAAAAGTATTATTTTCATTTGCTTTACAAGAAAAAAGTTGAAAAGTAGAGATGCATGGGCACTAACATCAGTATCAGCCGATATTAGTCATTTTGTAACATATTGGTATCCGTCCAATGAATAAAACTGGGCAGATATTAACATCTGAGTTTAACAGAAGCATAAATCATTAATTATGTTTAGTCTGGACTTTGACTGGACCATCCCGAATATGCTTTGATCTAAACCTTTCCAGTTGCTACCACTGTGCTTGGCTGACAGAACTCTGTGTTCAAAGTGATGAACATTTTAAGCATTTTTTATTGAACAATGCTTCGTATTTTCACCTCTTACACAAAAGCGATATTCATGGAATGAAAAACTAATGAATTTTTGGCTTCTCCAACCTCTGATGTGGATTTTTACATCTTTCCCAGAGTTACAATGGACCTCTACAATGTTACTGTTAAGTGAAAGATCATGTGTTGGTAGATTAGCAGCTGAGCCTTTGACATTTACAGATGATGGTTTGAACAGCATGCAGAGAGAAGCTCAGAGTTTGGGATTTATAATCCAACCTTTAAACTTCTTCCCTAGTGGCTTCCCTGTTCGTCATATTTGCTTACTCTCAGGAACAGGAACAGGTTGACTAACGCTAAGGTTAAATTACAGACTGGTGGAACCTGTTTAAAACTTAGGTGAGTTCTAGTTACACTGCATTTTATTTAAGGGTATCGGAATAAAAGGAGATATACGCACGCCCAGTTTATCAGATTATCCTTCCATTTCTTACAATAATTCGTAATAAAATATATAAAACTTTGTGGCTGTGACGTGACAATCTGTAAAAAGATTTAAAGGGTAAGAATATAGATGTTTGCTGAAATCCGCGACTGGAGTTTCGAAAAAAAAAAATGTGTTCGGCCTTGTTTCTAAATACCTTCATGTACAAACATATTAAACATTATAAATAGTACACTAACCGAACAAATAAAAAGCATTATTCATTTAGTTTTGGTACCATCTTGTGGTTGGTTCTTTAGTCTTCCTTTGGCGCAGACTCGATTCCACCTCCGGACCGGCCGGTGCGTCCTAATCCAAATCGGATAATAAACTCTTTGTCAGTCACCTAAAGTTATAAAACGTACAGTCATGTTATCACCACTCCATAAGCGTAGTCGGTAAATGTTCGTCCTTCCTTCCTGTGTCTTGCGCCTCGTGACTCCTCCCTTCTGGGGTTTTTTGCAAGCTCCAACGTGCTCAGGATGTTTTCCAGGGCCGGACTGAAACGATTTGAGACTCTGGGCTGAACTGCAGAACAGTCATAGCAAAATGCTTATAAGTGAAGCAGTGCAAAGCTTGCAGCTTTCCTTTTTGTGCAACAATTCATATTCTTTCCATATTCTTAATGTGCTTAATTTCTGTTACAATTTACTGCAAATAGTTTTGTTAGATTATTATATTTTTCCTTCACCACAGAAACGTTGCTATAAAATCCTTCCATCTAGTTAGCAGATTGAACGGCATATGGGCTTCAAATAATTGATTTTCTTGCATTAAGAAAAACATGCAACATCCATCAGTTTGGATCAAACTTGTTTCTGGTAAAACATTTAAATCATTAGGAACTTAAACAGTAAAAAGGGTTCAGTTGCAGTGAAAAAGACATGAAGATGAGCAGGAACATTTTCCAAAAAAGCAACTGCATCTCTCTAAATCAAGTAAAAGTTTTGAGTTTCAATTTGACCTTCCTATCATTTAATTATGTTTTATGCTCAAGCACTGCAATGAAATATAACTTTGAACTTCTACTGGATAATGACGCTGGTAGTCTACTTTGAGAATCCTATTTGGTAATGTATTAAAGGGCTATTTCACTGTGTTTTTTTTAATAATTTGAACTGCATCTGATCAAATCTAGCTCAAAATTTCCAATACTTTCAAATGATCAAACTTCAGGGGGTTTATTCCACACTCAAGGAGTCTTTAAAATAATTTGAAATACAAAAAGAAGTGTTTATTTACCCACCAGCATAACCTTTGATTGAGACAAATGTGAAACGTACAACATCTACATATACAGCTCTGGAAAAAATAAAGAGCCCACTGCACTGAACCCCATTGAAAACCTCCTGGTTATTCCATCAAATATTGATTTCTGAACTCTTCCCGAGTTAAAACATAAGTATTATTGTTTCTAAATGAATATGAACTTGTTTTGAGGTCTGAAAGCACTGCATCCTTTTCACTATTCTCATTTTCAGCAAATAAATACTAATTTTTTGCTTGCAATTTCAGAGACATGTTGTCAGTAGTTCATGATGGGTCTATTTAAACTAGAATTAATCCATATGCAATGTTAGCCTAATCCAGAGGTTCCCAAACTGTGGGGCGCGCTCCCTAGGGGGGGCGCCGTGTCATTGCAGGGGGGGCGTGGGAAGCTGTCTGGATGAAAAAAAAACAAAACATGAACACTGTATGCGCTGGGCTTTTACCTTAGAATGGCCAACTTTCTGTTATTCCTATGTCAATTTGATACAGTAGAGGCTTCCACACTTCCCATATCTGTGTCCTCTGTCACTTTTATCAGCAGGTAAAACTGTTTAATTCGTTGTTAACATGTTGTAACCTGTTTTTCCGAGCCGCCTTTAAACGCAACATGAGCGCTATGACGCTAGCACTGGGTTTCCACCTGTGAAGGAGACCTGCTGCTGCTGTGCGGAGCTACGTAGGTTTGTGTTAGAATCACGGCAGCAAACCAGCAAAACGCAAAGAACTTTTCACAGTTTTTCCCTCCAAACTAACCGACTGAGTTGAGTAAAGCTGCTGGATGCAGGTAATGTTAGCTAAAAGATGACTAGCTAATGTTAGCTAAAAGATGACTAGCTAATATCAATACAGAACCTTAAGCTTAACAAGTACCTTGTAGGCTACCGATGTTGGTGTCTACTTTTGGTTACTACATTCATTTTGCCCCCAAAAAAGTCGATGCCCCCCCCCCTCACACGCGTCGTTTTAACCAGACAGCCATTTGTAATCCATAGGGCGGTGCAGAAAATGTTTGGAAACCACTGGGGGGGCGCAGAAGAAAAAGTTTGGGAACAACTGGCCTGATCTTTTCAAAAAATAACTACTCACATAAACTGCATTTTGATGTTATGGACATGAGTTCAATCTGTAACACGTTTAAAGCTTCCAATAGGAGGAGTTTGTTCTTTGATAATGAATGTCTAAAAACACAGAGGAGGTGTAAATCAAGAAGGCACTGACCTCTGGGAATCTTATCAAACCATCACATGCCTCAGTGGTTCAGACAACAAAAGCAGACTTTACCCTCAGCACAATCAGTAATAAGCGGGAGGACATGTCGCAACCCTATCATTAGGGTTAATAAAGGGCAATCACAGGGGAAAAATGCAAAAACCCCTAAATCTCACAAAGTTGTTCAAGTCAAAGAAAAGCTCAGAGAAAATATACTCCCAGAAATGTAACTTTTTCTTAGTTTATTACTAAATCAGTCTGATGTTGGATAATTAAAACAATATGGTGCTCTGAACAAAGTTCACACAATCTAGCTTTTAAAATCTTATTTTATTACAGGAGCTGTTTACTACTCGTCAAATATGGTACATAGGCACCGCTCAGTCATCTACTCTGATGTAACCTGATCTATATCCCAGACGGCTTCAGAGAAATATGCTGAAAACAAACACAACTTTGTTTAACTACACTTGTTTAATCCAGTAATAAATGATCATGTTTATTTGACAAAAATCCTCTGTTATGTACAGAAGTAGACAGCTTAAAATTACAGTTCAGATCCAATCATGGTAATAAAAATCTAAACCGCTGCTTTAATAGTGTTTCTGTCACATGAAGTGTTACACAAACACCGTGGCACTGTGCAGGTTTTTTGGTTTCTCTTTCCTACTCATAAATAATTGACAAGACACCAGGTGGACTCACTGGTGTCACTATCGTCCTAAATGTATATAATCTTTATGTCTTTTATCTGATCAACAACAATGTAAAAAAACAACAGAAGAACATCACAGTTCTTATCAGAAACACAGATTCTTCTCCAAGAAATTATGCACCTCCCACCAAAGTAAGGAGCAGACCTACGACCTGACTGGACAATTACATTTTTATTAAAAAAAACGTTACTTGCATTCGGACAGAAAACATCTAAATGACATATTATGTTGAGTGTTACATTTGCTTCATTCAGTATTACAACATATCAAGCAGGTTAACAAATTCAAAGCAGATGCATTTCTGGCAATAAAAAAAATCGATTTTTGAACGGCAGCAGGTTGATATTATTTAACATAATTTATATGAACCTGGAGCCATTGCTCTATGTGGCCTTACTTACAGGTGATCTTACAATGAAGACAATCATTTCTCCCAGGCTGGTGTAAAACCACCACTTTTCTGACCAGAAAATACAGCTGGACTTGCTCAGAAGTCCAGTAACTGTCAGTGTGACAAACTTTCTGGGGTTTCATGTACGTTGAACTATTCTGTCTATGCTCTCCTGGATGTCGGCCATCTTCTTCAGCACCTGGTTCACCTTGGTTTCATCAAACTCCAGACACAAAAACTCTGAGTCCTGATGGGAAACGAAGAAAAAGGAGGAAGGAAGAACAGTAATTTTATTATAGGAAACATTATTAACACTCCCTTCCAAGAAGCTGTGGGATATCTGTTCATCAGTGGATAAGTTACATACCAGGCTGATGAAACAAAACAAGCTGACATGCAAATAGCTGTGTTTACGTTACAAATGTGCACATAATTTTGTGTCGAAAAAAATATTTTGCAATTGCAGTGCTTCCATCAATGTAGAAATGCAATTAAAAATCCCCACGTAAATAAATCTGTTCATGCAACTCATTAAAAAATATGACTTTTTCATGTTTTGCGCCAGTGGCAACATCAGGTTGTTGATCATGTCACTTTTGTGACTTGTGTGTGAAAAACGTGTTTCCATTGCAGTTTTACAAGAAAAACCAATTTCAATACAGCTGAAAAAGCACCTCAACAAAAACATTAAATCAAAAAACCTGTCATGTTTCCATTAAGCAAATTTATTTGAGAAAAGTCCAATTGTGTAATTGTATGGTCAACGGAAAGGCAGCTACTGTTATTAAACAGGATATACAATAAAATGTATTAAAATTATATGGTTTATTTTAGTTATTACGTACAGAGCCCACTGTGAGGCTTGCGGAAAAAAAATATTTTGCATTACCTTGACATAAGTAAATACACCCTGGTCTACTTTGTATACAGTCACAAATGTCTATTCAAAATGTCAAATGTAGACACATTTAATTAAAGAGCCTCAGTGAAAACGTGTTTATATGTTCTTAACTCTTTAAGAGTGCAAAAAGCTTATTGAAAATTTATTTATTTTGCACATAGGTTTGTGGTACATTTCCTAAAGAACATACAATATTAGACTGATCAAAAGTTTTGCGAGGGAACGCAAAAAAAAAAAAAAAAAAATCCTCCATGTCCAGAAGGGGCTCTGTAATTAAAAACAAAGCCCATAATGCCACTAAATTAATTTAGAAATTACAGACAAAAATAATCAGCATTACCTTATTGATAATGTATTTATTTATTTACATGTCCATGTAAAAACCAGAGGAAAACACGACCTCTGTTGGACACTTATGATAAAGAACATGAGTTAAATTACTAAAGTTGTGGATTTCCTTTGAGGGGTTAACCTCTGTGAGGTTTTTGTCTGGGAGAGCCTCTGAAGCTGCTTTCAGTGAAATTGAAAAAAACAAATGTAGCTTTGTCATGGGGCTGAGGCTTATTAAAAGCTACAAGTAATCTGGTCACATTCAGATCCAGGCCTCCAGCCACGATAAAATCTGTCTTCTAATCCAGCTCCTAGCCAGTCTGTCAGCTGTGTTTACTGTAATTCAGGCTGTCTAAAACCAGGAATGTTCCCTGTGTTTCACCCGTATCAGTAGCCCAAATGTATCACAATACAGTTAGCAACCAGGTCACATGAATATGCAGATCTCTGGGTAATCTTTGAGTTAAGCACAAGCTATTTAAACTTGATCTTGATCTATTGTTGAAATAATTAACTGAATTAGTTAAGATCAATTGATTACTGGAATAATTGTCAACTAATTTAATAACTGATTAACTGTTAACAGGAGTATACAGACTCAAGAAAGGCAATTTGCTGAAAGAATAGCGACCTCAGAGGAGTAACTAAGTCAAAACTGTACAGAAATTATATTTATAAATTTTGTGTTTAATATAAAAAAAAATCTTTGTCTGTGAATATTTTCTACCCAGAGCTCCTCATGTAGTTTAAGCATCACCTGCTTCAAATTCTGTAAAACAAAATGTCTAATTAAGCATTTTTAGATAAATATATTGTTACTGATTTATATAGAAAGATATTAATGCTTTCTTGGCTCGTGATGAAAGTCCTTTCATTTATTTCCAAGTATTATGGTAAATTATGGCTATTTTTTTTAAACCCATTCTGCTTTTCAACTCTCATTGTCACTGGAAAGACTGACAGTTTCACAACATTTATTTTCATAGTTGTATTTTATGGTTATTATATGCTCAGTTAGTCTAAACCATTTCTATTAAAGCTCTTTTTTGATTTAAAAAAAAAGAGTCAAAGTACAGGTGGGCAATAAATCAATTTTTATATCAAAATCCATCCAATAGAATATTTAATAATTTGACTGAACTCCGATCCAGAGCCACACGGCATTCTGGGAGATGTAGTAGGCAGAGGAAAGGCTTTAGCCTCTCAACGTCTCACGGCTAGCTAAGTAAAGCTGGTGGATACCTAGCAACCATAGCAACTCACTCTCTGTGTGGTTACCTAGCAACAAACTGTCACTTGGCAAGTAGCAGTTAAAGGTTTCACCAGATAATGAACTAAATATAAAAAACAACAGCGTGGAATGAGAAAAACAGATAGAGAGGAAACACAGCAGAAACTAGCTGTATTATATATATATATATATATATATATATATATATATATATATATATAAAATAATAATAATAATAACACTGCAAAAACACAAAGTCTTACTGAGTATTTTGGGTTTAGTTTCTAGAGCAAATATCTTACTACACTTGAAATAAGACAAATTAACTTATAAATAACTTTTCAGTAAGAAATATGAGCTTGTTTTAAGTCAATAATTCCTTAATATTGATGAAAAAGTGCTAGTTTCATTAGCAGATTATTTCACTTATAACAAGATATCTTCCCCATGTTTTTAGTGAAATATTAAGGAATTATTGACTTACAACGAGCTTGTATATCTTGTTGAAAAGTTGCTTGCAAGTAATTTTTCTCTTATTTCAAGTGTAATAAGATATTTGCAGTAGAAACTAGACCAAAAATACTTGGTAAGATTCTGTTTTTGCAGTGAAATAATTATTGACATTGACTGATATGAAATGCCTGTATTGTAATCTGTTTTTCAGATATATTCCCCAGCCCTCAGTCAAATATAAATATTCCTCATATGTTCTGCTGATGTGTGTGTAAAACTGGAGTGATGCCAACCTGTCCAGCTCTGCCAAGCTCCAGCTCCATCAGGGCGACTGGCCCTCTGTGGTCAGCGTTCCCATGGCTGTCACCGGTTTGGAGGTCCACTCTCCAGGAGAGGCCCCTGAGGGTGGGCTCCCAGCGATGCTGAGCCAACAGGCTCTCCCTCACCCGTACTCGCTGGCTCTTCCAGAAGCGAGAGAGCGCGGCGGCCTGCTCAGCACTCAGCCCGCCGCCACCGTGCCTCTTGGTCTGAGCTGTGAGGAAGGCCTCCAGCTGGGCATGGTCCATGTCTGCCGTGGCAATGGACTTCAGAGCAAGAACAGAGCAAAACGAGGATCAGACTGGATGTTTGGATTCTGCAGCTTCACTGTTCATTTCTGTTCAGCCTTTCTGGCACATTCAAGCTGGTGATTTCAGATTGTCTTCTTGAGAGAACTAATTAATTTCCAGATTGTTTTCTTGAGTTAATATCCTGTTTTTCACATATACATTTTCCCAATAATTTTCTCGAGGTAACGTGTTAATTTCCTGATGTTTTTCTCAAACACACACACATGTTTAAGACACATCAATCATCTCGTGATGCAAGAACACCACTGGGAAATTAATTTGTTATACCAAGAAAACAATCGGAAAATTAACTCGTTATCTCAAGTAAATCGTCGGGGAAAATCCTGTAGTCAGAAAATGTAAGAAAATATAGTTTATTTTTAAGGTCACATCTTTACAAAAAGTCAAAGTTTATTGCGGCTTTTCCAGTTGCATCCCAACTAAAAACAACTTTCTTAGAAGAGTGCTGCAAGAAAAGGATCCATTTCTTCTTTTTTTATGTGGTTCTTTAAATTGTTTACATGAAATATACTAGATCTGCAAAATAAGTCAATAGACAATTGTTATCTAAATGATTTTTATTTCAAGATTTATGTATGAAAATTCTGCATTCAAACCATACTTTTTGCCAGTTGGACAGACAAAACATTATTTCAAGAAACATCTTCCTCATTTAAAAAAAATCCCAAATTTGGAACAGGATGCCACCAGTAATGAAATGACAATTAAAATAATAATAGTTTTACGGGCTAAATTCTGAGTCGAACTGAAGCTGTATGTTACAGTAGGTTTTAAATATATTTACTTGTATTACTAGCTTTGTGTTTAATTTCTAAAGTCCTATCCAGGAACTATGCAACTTTAATATTTTTTAAATGAAACAAAACATTTGAAAAAATAAAAAAAGTTTCTGCCGCTCCAGTTGTATATTTTAAATTACAAACACGTGTGTATGTGTCACTTTGTTTATGTTTCTCATCAGTTTTTTGCTCCTATACGAGAAAAAAATAACATGCTAAAATTAAATAAAAGTAAACTCTGATAGATGTTAAGGCAAAACTGTGGCTGTGATGTTTAAATTAGCAGGCAATGCTGCCCTCTGTTGACAACCATTAATGAACGCAAATAACTTCATTATTTGGTGTTAATTTACAAATAATATCTAAAACGTTTAGCATTCATTTTAAGCTAGCTTTAAAAAGGGCGCAGTAAAATCGTACTACAGTCAATGGCTAAAAGCCAAGACTAATGTTGAGCCTGAACCCTGGAAAAACAAAGAGTTTATTATCTTAGAATTGATATTAAAGAGTTTTTCTAACACTAAAAAGACTCTTAAGTGCCTTTAATAGTAATGACAATGCATAAATACTTGTTTTGGGCTGTTTGTATCTGCAGACAGGAAGAAAAAATGTTCTTACCTTTATGAGCCCTTTCATTTTTTCGAACAAAACTTTGAATTCCTCCTGCGGCATTTCCGGATACAGCTCATTTTTCAGCAACTCCTCCGTAATTTCGCTTTTATTATAATACACCATCTGAGCTATTCCACTCAGTAAACCGCTCAAAGATTTTGCTACTTCCACGTCCGCCATGTTTACGTGCGGGTCACATGAGTGGGTGAAGGCCATCACGTGTCAAATACAGATGCAGGGCATTGTGGGAGTTGTAGTTATTGCATTTCAGATTGACTCAAAGCGTGTGAAGATAATATTCCATACTTAAGTTTAGAGTGTTTAGAGTAGCACTACTTCAACATATTAATAAAGGTAAAAAGTAGCCGTCCAAGAAATTACTCAAGTAAGAGTAAAGAAGTATTTTGTAAAATGTCTCTGTAAGAGTAATTGATAATAACATCTGATCATTTAATATTTAACTCTTTATTTCTCCAAGTAAGCAAAGGGATGTATTTTTTGGCAAAGCAAATTATTAGCCTGCCAATATCTGCACCCCCTGTTTATTGTCCTATTGGTGTGAAACTTACCTTTAGCTCAGTTAACAAGCATGATTATGTAGAAAAGGTGAAATCCCTGTTAGCTCTTTATTTCTTCAAGTTTGGAGGAGGATGCATTTTTTTGGCAAAGCAAATTATTAGCTTGCCAATATTTCCATGCCCTATCTATTTTCCCCAAATATTATTCTATTGGTATGAAACTCATACCTTTAGCTCAGAGAACCATTGTGATTATGGTTATTTTACTCTTTATTTGTGCTAGATAGAGGGGGATGCATATTTTGGCAAAGCTAATTATTAGCTTGCTGATATATGCATGCCCTATCTATTTCCCACTAATATATTGATATTTTTTTCATTGTGGTTTGACTGCTGTTTTTTTCTTTAACATACTCAACACAAAATTAATGTCATTCAGCTGTGAGGATGACGAGAAAGAAGAGAAGATGACAGGAAGAATCCAGACAGACGGGAAGGCAACAGGTCAGTCTAACATTAGGTTGAAATGAGGGAACAGCTGCTTCATCCCAAGCAATAATTTTTAAACATTATTTTTAAAAACTGTACTAAGATCTGTAATTTTAATATAATGCTTTTTTGACCATGTGACTTAGCAGAGAACACGCTGAGGGCTGAAGGAGACGGACAGGAGCTCATAGTATCTGCAAGACACGTGATGACCTCAGGTAGGAATATTCCTCAGGTAGGAATATTTAAATTAAGGAGGCAACAAAAATCTATATACCATGATGGTTTGAATTTAATTACTGTATTTTATAAGTGCAGGAATAAGGGAGAACTGTTTGGACATTTTAAACGTGGAGTGGGGGTGGAGGTGTGTGTGTGTGTGTGTGTGCGTGTGTGTGTGTGTGGGGTGCGTCGTTGTTGTGTTTGCATACACCTCAGATCTGCACAGGGATGAACAGAACGTTTTCTGACAGAAATATTACATTTGAGCAAACAAATACTCTCGCTTTAAAACCGACGCAGTTAAAGTGTGATGGGCAGAAGGAGACATTAAAATGCTGAAGGAAACTTTAATCAAAAGCAGAGAAAATGTCAAAAGACAATTGTACAGGTTCCAAGTAAATAGTTGGAATTCTGTGAGATAAAAAGCAAAACATGACACCATTCTTTCAAGTAGATCATGTCAATACAGATAAAGGAATTATGTTTATTTAGCCAGACAAAGCCAACGGTTTCATCAGATTAAATAAAGGAAATAAGAACACTTTTGCAAAGTAGCTGATTTTTTTAACTCATGGCCTTGATTGTGTTGCTCAAAATTTAGCAAAGCAGTTTGTTATGCCCTGTTAGCAATGTACCCCCTTCTACGCTTCCCACTTTTACGTCTACGTGACTTTCTCATCTTGCGTCCTTTTCCACGTCTACGTGACTTTCTCATCTTACGTCCTTTTCCACGTCTACGTGACTTTCTCATCTTTCCTCCTTTTCCACGTCTACGTGACTTTCTCATCCTGCCTCCTTTTCCACGTCTACGTGACTTTCTCATCTTACGTCCTTTTCCACGTCTACGTGACTTTCTCATCTTACGTCCTTTTCCGCGTCTACGTGATTTTCTCACCTTGCCTCCTTTTCCACGTCTACGTGATTTTCTCACCTTGCCTCCTTTTCCACCTTTACCTCCTCCTATAACCTCTCCACCTTCTTCACTAGTAATTGAGCCTGTGTCAATCCCGTTATTTGAACCTGAAATTGTGCCTTCATCACTTCCTGCAGGTGGCGCAGGTGTACCTACTGCTGTCTCTTCGTTGCCATTTGATTGTGCTGTCTCTTCGTTGCCGTTTGATTGTGTTGTATCTGCAACGCAGGATGGTGCAACATTATCGCCTTCTTTGCAGTTTGTGCACTGAAAAGAATTGCTTTGCTCATAACAACGGAATATGTTTTCAAGCCCAAACTTTGAAACCTCTTGCTGTTTGAACAGTGCAGCCCTCTGAAGTGTGTCAGCATCAGCAACATCAGCTACTTTAGAAAACACAAAAGCATAACTCTTCCAGTTCTGAACAACGTCACTGATCTTGTTGTCAATGCCATTTGCATCAGGGTATCCTTCAGAGTAGACGATGAGGACGTTACCATCACTGCTTTTTATCAGGGGTTGTATTTTCTCTAGAACCTGGCCCAGCGCTCCAGACTGGACAGCTGCAACAACCCTGGTGCCTTGGTAAACTTGACCCGCTGAAATAGCTTGTTTCACTGCATCTGCAGGGTCGTCCTTAAGAACTTCTGCAAGACTGCCTAAGTCTTGGTTCACAGGGATGTTGACAGCCAGACTGTAGCTGTCACCCAGTGCATACCTATCAAAAAGACACATAAATGATCAGTATTCCAGTTTATATCAGATGATAATTTGACAAGATAAAAAAAACCTTGAGTCAATCTGACAATTGCATTTTATTGCAGCAAACTACAAGTTATCACTTTGTTAAAATGAATTTGATTGTACTGTTTTTAAATTGTTTATTTTCATTACTAAAACTGCCATTGTTGTTGTTTTTTTTGTCATTTCTACATAGCAAAGATATAATGTATGACACGGACATTGTACAGTTTCAGAAGTCAGAAATTTGTTTGAAAAACTGAAATTTTTAGATTAATCTCAGAAATTTTCTAGAAATGTTTCTTTTTTAAGAAAATTTCTGAGTTTGATCTCAACATTTTTTAATTTTTTAGCAGAAATTTAGTCACCCTAATATACTGATGGACATAACACAGTTATTTTAAAATACTTTTAGCATGAAAAAGATGAATAAAAGTATTAATTAAGTGTTTTAAAAAGCACTTTGTTTTTTAAAACAAAATTATATCAACAACAGTATAGCAAGGACTAAATTAAGTGGTTGTTTAGTTTAAGATATGAGCAAAAAATAAATAAACTTAAAAAAAGCTGATCCGTCCCAGATTCCTGTGTTAATCAAATCTTTTCCCAAACTTGATACAGAAAAGAAAAAAAAAACGTCCATGAAAGTTCTGAAATACCACGTGACGCCACCAGGTGGCGGAAACGTCAATTTAAGTAATATCTTAAAATCTTAATGAGGTGCATCATCCAGAGCGGACGTCTACATCTCCAGTGCCTCTGTCCTACGACGTTTGGATGCATCCCTGCTTCAACACCTCAGTCAACAAAGGTTTAATTACCTCCTAAGGATGTCAGCAAGTTTTTGTAAACAATTCATTTGTTTCAGGAGCAGGACAGTGGCATCAGAGGAGAGGCATATTGGCCAGTATGGCTAAAGCTGCGATTCTCCAAAACACTGTAGGTGATTTAATTACTATTTCCTTTGAAGTTCAGTGGAGTGTGGACAAAGCAAGACAGATGATAAACCATTAAAAATGATTCCGTGATTGTTGCGATTTCTAGTGCAGAAATGTTCTGTCACCTTCTGGCCTTTTATGGCTAAATTGTTGCTCTTACACCAAACCTGTTATGCCAGAACTTATTCAGCATATGTGTTTTTGTCTGTCTTTTAGCGCATTATCTCTGTTTTGGAGAAGCCAAAAAGAACTTCAAGGGAGTGTAAAAAAAAATTGTGAAATTGAGGAAGGTAATTTGGATTTTGACATTTCGTTTTCTAATGCAATACTTCAAAATGCAAGTAAAAAATGTTGACAGAAACACAATCACTGACCCTTTTTCTATATCAGTTTTATTATTTTTGTTATTCAGTTGAGAGAGTATTTCTCTATAATTTCAACTTTCCCTAAAATAATACTGTAAGAGGCTTTTCAGTCCACTGTAGCCTTTTTTCCAGTGATTTTGCAAATTCCCAGCATCCAAGTTGGCTCTGCATCGCTACTGCTCTGGTTTTTTAATTCGACAAATTGAATTACAAATAACCTGTAAATAAGTTGATGCAGTCTCACATTCCTGAGGATAAAAGACACAAGAAACAATGAAAACTGATTTAAAACTTACTCATTTTTGAGGTTTTGTATGATATTGGTTAGCCAGTCCTGGTTTACAGCGGCTAAACTGCGTTGAGGAGACAGGAAGACGGCCAGACCCAGAACCACCCAGCACAGGACAGCCATCTGAATGGATCAAATCCGACATTAAGACAATAATAAAAGCATGCAACCAAGTTCATGACAAATGATGCAATGATTATATTTTAACATGTAAATTCAAGTCTCATATTATTGTTAATTTTAAATAGGTTTCTTTGTCTCATTAGTCCATCCATTTTCTTTCACCCTTGTCCCTCAGTGGGGTCGGGAGGGGTGCTGGTGCCTATCTCCAGCTAACATTCCGGGCGAGAGGCAGGGTACACCCTGGACAGGTTGCCAGTCTGTCGCAGGGCAACACAGACACACAACCAAGTACACTCACACCTAGGGACAATTTGGAGAGGCCAATTAACCTGACAGTCATGTTTTTGGACTGTGGGAGGAAACCAGAGAGCCCGGAGAAAACCCACGCATGCACAGGGAGAACATGCAAACTCCATGCAGAAAGACCGGGGCCGGGAATTGAACCCAGAACCTTCTTGCTGCAAGGCAACAGCTCTACCAACTGCGCCACTGTGCAGCCCTGTCTCATTAGTTTTACAGGTTAAAAATATTGACCAGGGAATGTCTTGCCCCTGATCAAATAAATTTTAAAATATAAATAAATTGATAGTTTTACCTTCCTGCTGTGTTCCAGAGGGATCTGCCAGCTGCAGGTCTGATGAAATGACAGAAAATTGCAAGGTTTTATAGTTCAAATTTAAAAATATATATATTGTATTACACCTGTTAAACCACATTTATCCGTTTATTTAGAGATTATTTATATATTGGCAAAATGAGTTATTGGTTAAAAATGTTCATACATTTTTAACCAATAACTCATTTAAACTACTTTTTTGCAATTGAAAGTTTTCTAATTTTTTCACAGATGAGAACTATGCAACACAAACATAATCCAAGCTGCTGTGCATTTTTAGTCAAGAAGTTGCTATAATAAAATTGTTACCTCTCGTTTAGATGCACAAGGAGTCTTCCACTTTGTCTGGGCGCTACTTCCAGTTCTGCTACAATGACGCTCGGTTGGGAAGTGATTTTTATATGTGTGAACAGGAAATGAACACCTCATTGGACAACGCCTGCAAATTAGGCCAAACCTATCACAATTGAACCGCCTCGAGCATTGATGTGCTAAAATAATGGATTGCTCAAGAATATCTTACTTGTGTTTAGCAAGAAAAAAAAGTTTTTATCGTCTTCAGGGTTTTGCAATATTTGGTGTAATAAGAACATATGCCTGATGGATCGTCCTCTTCCAATTATTTGTATTTTGTACCAGTTAACTCAGGGAAAAGGAACTTAAAAAGATGTAAAAGTGTTTCACTTAAAGTAATACATTTGCAAATAACTCAAGTAAGGCGTCCTTGCACCTAAATGGTCATAAGTTTGCATATATTATGACCTGACATTTTCACAGATCTGCCATGTGTTTGAAGTTTAAAGCATGGGATATATCAATAAGGTTATTATTCTTCAGTGGTATCTCTAGTCAGTAAATCCATCTGATCAGCTTTGACTTGACATTGTCCACATCACCATATCGTTGATCACAACCTTCAGTATTTCTGCACATCGCTTGTTAATATCGGTCAGAATGCATGTGATGCAGCAAAATGTGTCCTAAAATGCAGCAATGGCTGCATTGAGCTTCTGCATTTATGCCTGTCGGTTGTGTATGTTTAGAAAAGCACAGTTTAATCACTCTGTTGTCTATGCTGATTTAAAATTACTCTATTAACTCTAAATGTGTGTTGTATGATCAACAGATTTCCCAACCCTGGTCCTCAAGGCACACTTGAAAGTTTGGACCACCACCCCTGATAATGCTGTCCTGGTTAACACTGCCAGGGCATATCAACACCAACAGCCCCACAATGTCCAGAGCCTTCAGCATGTCTTTTACCGCCCAGGTGCCTGTAATTTTTGACTCCCTCAGTGACCTCCTTCATTTCATTGTCAATAATAAACCAAACCTGTTTTTCTTTCTAAGTTGTAGAATTTCCTTGTTTGACAAACAAAAGTCTTTCTCCATAGCCTTTCTGAATTCCTCCTATTCCTACATCTTTGCCTGTATGACCACAGAAGCTGCAGGCCGTCTGACCATACCTGCCAGCTGTTTCAAGAGATTACTTCAGGGTAGTCTTCCAGTCTAACCTGAAGACTTCCTTCCTTATCTTGACAACTTCCACCACTCCTTGTTTTCACAAACAAGACCCAGGTCTGCCCGCAGCCTCCCTGCCAGTTGATGAAACTCCCTACCAGGTGGTGTTCATTTCATAGCTCTGACCTAATACCACAAGTCTGATGATTACAAAATCGACCAGTAGACCATTGACAGGATACAAAATACACATTTGAACAAACACACCGTCTGCTTGGACATCCCATGCCAGCAAAGCTCAGATTCAGTTTGGGGAAGCTGTTCCTCCTGTTGAGAAAATAAATTTAAAATAAGCTAGTTTTAAAACTTAACGTGTCTTGATTCAAATGCCCTAATTGTGGTTTTGAAATTAGTAATGTATTCTGACTTTTTGACCTTTATTTTACCTGTAGTTACAGCAGATGGTTTGCTAGGATCGTTTGAACTGCCTTTTGTCTGTGTGGAAAACAATACAGTAGAGGTTCCTGCTTTTCACACTCATCTGTGAAAGGAGTTTCTGGCTTGAGAGAGGGTCAGAGATAGCTCTTGGTTGGATGAGCAAAGATACGCCTTATTTGAATAAATTAAAGAACAGAAGATAAAACTTTCTACACAGAAGTAACAAATTAGATTTGCTCTTGCAACTCTCCAAAGATGTTGAGATTGTGCAGAAGAGATTTGTATCTTGTTATGTGTTTGTCTGTTTTGCTGGATGTTATGTTGCTGTGTTTCTGTTAACTCATGCTTCTGTGGGACAGAGATTTTTTCTCCATTTTGGTTACAGGTTTTACAGGTTTTGTTTCACAGAGCACTGGGGCTGATTGACCCCTCCATTTGCATTTTGGGGGTGCTTCAGTTCTGTTAACACTGACATTTGCAGCAAATTCTTGGATTTTGATGTGAATTTCTTTTAGAACTGTGTTTTATGTTTAAATGAAAAGTACAAAATAACAGATTTACAGATGTTTCTATTTTCTCAGCGGGAGAAATGTATGGCATCAGTTCCAGGCTGGAGCACTGGAATGATCTCATTGCTTTTTTTTATAATATTGTAACATTTACAATCACTTCAATTTCTAGGTTCCCTGACACTGGATGGAACACACTCACTAATCAGAACGGGGAAGCAGAAATGATAAATATGGATGATGTTTTTCTGCTTGACAGTGTTTTCTGCACTATTAATGTAGGACATGTTGAAATGCTAATGAATGACTGTTTCTTGTAGGACGATCTTCGTGTGCAGTCCATTTTTTCATATTACATGACCACATGAACGGTTTTTGGGACTTTCCTACAGGGGGTCTAGTTAATGGGTAGCCATTTAATAACAGTGGGCTATCATGAAATAAGGTTGTGTGTATAAAATGGAGTTTTTGAAATAGGTTAACTCAAAACTGAACAATATTAGAACTGTTGGATAATTTTGTTTTCTTTCAGGCATGATCTTATGATGTGTTTAAAACTTTCTACAGGATGAATTTTGGTTTGAAATTTGGGTAAACATGTGTTTGGAAGATGGAATCAGTACAAATTGGGAAGTTCTAACTTTATGGTTCACAAATATCTTTATTTTACACATTGGAGTGTGACAAACAAATTACAGGTGAACATGGGGATCGTTTCAGTTGCTGTAGGTGAATTACACTACTTCATGTGTTTGCCCACTGTTTCTGAAGAATTGGAAGGTATATTTCTTACATTATAGGTCAACTAATGTAAAGATGCCTTCAAATACTGAGAATGGGGTCATGTTCCTGCTCTCACGAGAGTATTGGGGGCAGATCACACCTCACTTTGTTTGGTCAGCTTAATCTGGGGTAACATCCTGCATCTTTCTTACAATGGGGTGTTGATGAGTCTGCTTGAGTGTGAATGAGAGTGAATGTGTATGCAGATGGCCTTTGATGTGTTCTTAGGAAGCGCTATGTAAATTTGACGTCACTTTAGTGAGTAGCTGTGTGATATATTTTTTATTTTAAACTATTTAGACACAGTGCATGTTTTGTTTCATAAATTTACTTTTATTACTGCTTTATGGACAATTTTAAAGGTGATGATTACATATTTTGGTATCACGATTTGGTTAAAGCTGAATCATCTGCTTCTACAGTAGAATTAATACAAAACAAGAATTCAGCCTTGGCTTAAAGCAGATAAATTTAGTAATTAGGAAACTGTCTCATCCACTTTGGATAAAATACTAACACACTAACTTCTAACTAAATTCACTGTTGGTTTACATGCCACATGGGTAACTGATTGGACATGTTGAAATTTTAGCATAATGGGGGAAAGTTCTCCTATTTTGGTTTTCCACCTCTAAATTGTTTTTCTTTTTGAAATAAGAAAAACACGGGAATATTATAAAGATAAGATATTACTGATAGAACTTTGAAAATTCAAACATCTCAGTCTATTTTGAATACTGGATGGATGATTTGGAGAAATGGTGGAACATCTTACAATATTTTAGTTTTTCAGCAAACTATATAACAGTAACATAGATTCAAAATTGTTTTTGAAATGATAATTTTATTATATCAACAGGGGGAGAAGTAGAAATAGACCCTACTTCCTGGTCAATTTTTAGATATGGTTAATTGTAAATTGTTAATCAATAATGTTAACTTTTTCATTCAACAATAGTGAATTATGGATTTCTTTAGGTAAAGAGCCTTTACATTGCCTTCCTGCTTGACTAAAATATGGTGTATGTGATATAGAAGCTTATACTAAATTAGAATTGATCATCTAAAATTGAACAGCTTTAAAACAATATCTGAAAATGTTTTAAATGTAAACAATACCATGTTTACATTTAAAATTGTTGATAGATTTCTGCATCACTGCTGATTTTTAATAAGATACAGTTGGGTGTAAATTGTTAATTTTGAGGACATTTTTTGTTAAAACTGCTATGAAATTCAAATAAAATGTGAATAACTTCTGAAATTTTGCAATAGGACTTTGTCTTGAAGCGTGGGACAGTGACAAGGATGTTTAGTATTTAGTAGAACAATATCAAATTCATAATTATTTGACAAAGTGCAATTCAATCACAACTTTTATAAGTGTTAGTACTAGGACATTCTAGATTTTGTTCTAATTCTTTAATGAGTTTGTGAGGTTGTGATTTTAAAATTTGTAGTTGATATTTGGCACGAACAGAGTGAATGTCATCGAGGTATTGACGTCTATTGATTTTGAACAGTAAGTGTCTATTTTCTTAATTCTGGGACATCTGATGGTGGAATGTTTTAACATATTTCTATGTTTATTCTTTTTGCAGTTCAGGATTTGAGGCAGTTGGCCGTTTGTGCTATAACAACAACAAATCTAGAGCCACATGGGAGGATGCATCACAAGATAAAATTAAATTTTATTTATAATAGTTAAAGTAAGCAAAATATGGCATACATACGTTTTGATTTTTTAATTACTTTGTATTATTTTTTTCTCTGGTAGTTCTCCTTCCTTCTGACTTGATGGCGATCTTGGGGGCAGGGTCTTTCAAGCTCAGAGATCATGGGGCGGTGTGATTTGACAGGATCTTCTTGATTACCACAACAGGCCGCTGTTGTTGCTGCTGAACAAGGACATGACGATGCTGAACTGTGCCCATCTTCTGCTGGACTGCTCTATGAAAGCCAAAAACTGTTGAACGATTACTAAGGTCAGTGAAGATGAACTGTGTTCTTCTGTTGTCACGTGAGGGCAAAGTGCTGCTCACAGGACCTGGCAACAGATGCCTGCTTTGGGTGTTGTTTTTCACACCTGGCTGAAAACAAAAGGGACTCAGGCGTTATCTGTGAGAGTCCTCTACGGCCGGGATCAGCAGGGAGTCGGGACCACAAAGATCAAAGCCTTTTGTCCAAACCCAGACGGGGGTTTTGGAGGATGACTGATCTGCTGTGTTTCTACGTCCTGCTCTGTCGACCACGAAAGGCTGACCTACGTTCATCAAAGAGGGACTGTATCCAGATGTTCCTGCACTGCAGGAATGGCTGCTACTCTGGACACCTTCTGATTCAGCAGATAAAGAATTGGGGCATGGCAAGTAGCTCAGCAGGGGTCCTGTTGTGTGTTCTCATGTTTGATCCTGGATTCTCACCTCTGATCATGTGACCTGAGCGCCAAAGCCTGCTTTCGAGGTTCCCTTCAGTCTGCAGGCTGGAGACGAAATGGATGCCAACAAAACTTGGTAGTGGTGAATAAGTTCTTTTTAAATTTTTGTAGTGTGTGATGCCATTGTTCTCTCCTTACTTTAGTTATAGCACTGATGCGCCCTGTTGCCTTCACGTCCTGAACCCCTGCAGTGAAATGCTAAGTGTTGAGGACACCCCATCTCCTGGTGTCAGAGGTTTTACAATGCAGTTTGAGGGTTGGTGTGACCCAACGGTTACGACTCTGCATTTCTCGGAAATGCATTAACTTCCTCCATGATTCACTCTGTTTGTCTCACAAAATGCTAATGTGTTTTTCCCTTCCTGCCTGAAAAGAATGGGCAGGGGACTAACTATTACAATTACATATTTTTTTTCTTAATCATAGCTGACTTGCATTATGGGCTCCGCTTCAACTGCAAAAGACGATGATCTAAATTTTATTTGGCTCATATTACAGTGGCTACCATTCAGTGACAACTAAATTTAAATTTAAATGGAATTTAAAATTAAGGTGTTAAAGTGGATTGATGGGTGTCTGCAGAGCATACTGAGATAATGGCACCAAGTTCTGTGTTGATTTCATAAATTGATTTCAAATATAAATCTTTTTGATTGAGGTGTGCAGATTGTAACAGCATCTGGGACACCATCTTTAAATTACATCCAACTGTGTTATATGATGCTAAAGTTAGCGGTGATAGCAGATTTCATCTCAATGAGTTGTATGGGATTTTTATTCTATGACAGAACATTTGTTCAGGATAACAAATAAACATGGAAACTACTCAAAAATAAACAGAAAACTTCCGATCCTGACAGTACCCTCCCCTCAAGGGCGGCTACCAGACGCCCCAAAAAAACAACCCATCAGGGTGGGCGGAGGGGCGACGGATGGATGGCAAGAGTCCAAAAAACAAAAACTCAGTCCAAACAGAAAACACCAAACAGAAAAGCGGTCAGGGCAGGACCTGCCGCAAACAGTCCGGTGGGCGGCAACGCCAGAGGTGGAGCAGGAGCCGTGGTGGGCGGCGACGCCGGAGGCGGAGCAGGAGCCGCGGTGGGCGGCGACGCCGGAAGCGGAGCAGGAGCCAGAACTTAAGCCGCGCGGGAGTCTCCAGGATCCTTTGGGGCCGGCTGCAGGCTCTGGAGATGGAGGCTCAGGGGGCGGAGATGGTGGTGGAGCAGGCTCAGGGGGCGGAGACGGTGGTGGAGCAGGCTCAGGGGGCGGAGACGGTGGTGGAGCAGGCTCAGGGGGCGGAGACGGTGGAGGAGCAGGCTCATCAGCAAACTCAGGGGGCGGAACTGCAGCGGGCACAGGAAACTCTGGGGGCGGAGCACAGGAAGGTGGAGCCAAATCCGCAAACTCGGGAGGAGCGGGCACAGGAAACTCTGGGGGCGGAGCACAGGAAGGTGGAGCCAAATCCGCAAACTCGGGAGGAGCGGGCACAGGAAACTCGGAAGACTNCCCTTTTTCTATATCAGTTTTATTATTTTTGTTATTCAGTTGAGAGAGTATTTCTCTATAATTTCAACTTTCCCTAAAATAATACTGTAAGAGGCTTTTCAGTCCACTGTAGCCTTTTTTCCAGTGATTTTGCAAATTCCCAGCATCCAAGTTGGCTCTGCATCGCTACTGCTCTGGTTTTTTAATTCGACAAATTGAATTACAAATAACCTGTAAATAAGTTGATGCAGTCTCACATTCCTGAGGATAAAAGACACAAGAAACAATGAAAACTGATTTAAAACTTACTCATTTTTGAGGTTTTGTATGATATTGGTTAGCCAGTCCTGGTTTACAGCGGCTAAACTGCGTTGAGGAGACAGGAAGACGGCCAGACCCAGAACCACCCAGCACAGGACAGCCATCTGAATGGATCAAATCCGACATTAAGACAATAATAAAAGCATGCAACCAAGTTCATGACAAATGATGCAATGATTATATTTTAATATGTAAATTCAAGTCTCATTTTATTGTTAATTTTAAATAGGTTTCTTTGTCTCATTAGTTTTACAGGTTAAAAATCTTGACCAGGGAATGTCTTGTCCCTGATCAAATAAATTTTAAAATATAAATAAATTGATAGTTTTACCTTCCTGCTGAGTTCCAGAGGGATCTGCCAGCTGCAGGTCTGATGAAATGACAGAAAATTGCAAGGTTTTATAGTTCAAATTTAAAAATATATATATTGTATTACACCTGTTAAACCACATTTATCCGTTTATTTAGAGATTATTTATATATTGGCAAAATGAGTTATTGGTTAAAAATGTTCATACATTTTTAACCAATAACTCATTTAAACTACTTTTTTGCAATTGAAAGTTTTCTAATTTTTTCACAGATGAGAACTATGCAACACAAACATAATCCAAGCTGCTGTGCATTTTTAGTCAAGAAGTTGCTATAATAAAATTGTTACCTCTCGTTTAGATGCACAAGGAGTCTTCCACTTTGTCTGGGCGCTACTTCCAGTTCTGCTACAATGACGCTCGGTTGGGAAGTGATTTTTATATGTGTGAACAGGAAATGAACACCTCATTGGACAACGCCTGCAAATTAGGCCAAACCTATCACAATTGAACCGCCTCGAGCATTGATGTGCTAAAATAATGGATTGCTCAAGAATATCTTACTTGTGTTTAGCAAGAAAAAAAAGTTTTTATCGTCTTCAGGGTTTTGCAATATTTGGTGTAATAAGAACATATGCCTGATGGATCGTCCTCTTCCAATTATTTGTATTTTGTACCAGTTAACTCAGGGAAAAGGAACTTAAAAAGATGTAAAAGTGTTTCACTTAAAGTAATACATTTCTAAATAACTCAATTAAGGCGTACTTGCACCTAAATGGTCATAAGTTTGCATATATTATGACCCGACATTTTCACAGATCTGCCATGTGTTTGAAGTTTAAAGCATGGGATATATCAATAAGGTTATTATTCTTCAGTGGTATCTCTAGTCAGTCAATCCATCTGATCAGCTTTGACTTGATATTGTCCACATCACCATATCGTTGATCACAACCTTCAGTATTTCTGCACATCGCTTGTTAATATCGGTCAGAATGCATGTGATGCAGCGAAATGTGTCCTAAAATGCAGCAATGGCTGCATTAAGCTTCTGCATTTACGCATGTTGGTTGTTTATGTTTAGAAAAGCACAGTTTATAATCACTCTGTTGTCCATGCTGATTTAAAATTGCTCTATTAACTCTAAATGTGTGTTGTATGATCAACAGATTCAACATCAAATCACCTTCATGCAGGCTGCCTTATATGAATGCTGCTTTAAATGATTAGCTTTACAACTACATTAAAACAAGATAACATTTTGAAGGATTACAATATATGAAGGGCAAGGCTGGAGAAAGGCTGGTCAACAAACAGCTTTCATCCCTGCAGCTCCTTCTCCATTGTAAAGTCTCAGTCCAGTTGGTTAATGTTTTGTTTGGTTCTAATCAAGTTGGGTGCGTCGCCATTGGCAACATGTTTCTCACTACACAGGCGGGAACGTGGTCAGGAATATGGAAAAGTGTGCGGGTCGTGCACAGGAGCTATTGACTCTCTGATTATGTCATTTTGCGCGAGTTTCCTTGGGAGGCCCGTTTCTTTGAAATCTCTTAGTTAATTGGCTTGTTACAGTTTTCTCCATCCAGTTGACGTTGTCTGCGCTCATCAAGGGACATAAATCCACAGGCCAATCAACAAATCCAGTCTGCTTCTATTAAAATTGCTTTTGTGCAACACTTAGCTTGACCCGGCTTGCAATACCGCTAAGGTGGTTCCAAAAAAACGGCGCAGAATCTCAACTTGAAAATTGATTGTTATTGCGGGTCACTGTGTCATTCAAGTTATGCATGACGTCAGGATGTAAAGAATAACGCTTGAAAACAACTGTCAGTAATGTCATTCACATCTTCCAGAAAACAGAATTGGAGATTTCACTATCAGCTAACTTCAAGAGATTCAAATTGAGGCAACACCAGAGTACTTAATGAATGGAAGTGCTAATAGTGCCTTTTATTAAGTACAACAAGAAAGGCTAATGTGCCTGTTTATATGTTAAATGTAGCAGACATGGTCTAATGCAGTGTTTCCCAACCCTGGTCCTCAAGGCACACTTGAAAGTTTGGACCACCACCCCTGATAATGCTGTCCTGGTTAACACTGCCAGGGCATATCAACACCAACAGCCCCACAATGTCCAGAGCCTTCAGCATGTCTTTTACCGCCCAGGTGCCTGTAATTTTTTTGACTCCCTCAGTGACCTCCTTCATTTCATTGTCAATAATAAACCAAACCTGTTTTTCTTTCTAAGTTGTAGAATTTCCTTGTTTGACAAACAAAAGTCTTTCTCCATAGCCTTTCTGAATTCCTCCTATTCCTACATCTTTGCCTGTATGACCACAGAAGCTGCAGGCCGTCTGACCATACCTGCCAGCTGTTTCAAGATACTACTTCAGGGTAGTCTTCCAGTCTAACCTGAAGACTTCCTTCCTTATCTTGACAACTTCCACCACTCCTTGTTTTCACAAACAAGACCCAGGTCTGCCCGCAGCCTCCCTGCCAGTTGATGAAACTCCCTACCAGGTGGTGTTCAGTTCATAGTTCTGACTTTACCACAAGTCTGATGATTACAAAATCGACCAGTAGACCATTGACAGGACACAAAATACACATTTGAACAAACACACCGTCTGCTTGGACATCGCATGCCAGCAAAACTCAGATTCAGTGTGGGGAAGCTGTTCCTCCTTATCACAACCTTCCTGGTAGATTAATTTTTCTCCAGACAAACATTACTGCCCCCAGAAGCACAACCTCCATGTCTTTCTTGCTAGATACGTAATATCTAGCAAGATATCACCCAAAACCTTTGACTCAAAAACCTTTTTGCAATGCCCAGAATTAGCATGCATTGGTCCCTGCTATTGCCACCAACCTCATACCTCATGGGTACCTCATTGGTACCTCATTGGTACCTCATTGGTACCTCATTGGTACCTCATTGGTAACCCAGGAGTCTGGACTCCTGGGTTACCAATACTGTTCATTCTAAAGCAATAGCATTACAAAATAGTTGCTTTTCTTATTCCAGTGAGCAGCTTCTGTTCGTTTTTACACAAATTTTAAAACCGTTTATATGCACAAAAGCAAGGCTATATAGTTTTCTGTACAAAACCACAAATAACACATTTATAAGTTTATTTTTTTACTTTTTATGCAGGCAAACAATGTGTTACAATGTTCAATATGGATGCTTTTTAAAAATAGGCATATGTGGCAACATTATTTCATTGAAAACAACTTTTTTACTTGACTGTATTAGATTTTAAAAATTAAGAATGATCAATACTTTGTTGGTTTCAAAGTTGCTTTATTGTATCCTCAAAACCCATGACAGCTTTTTGTCCTTGTTTTCTGGTTTTAGACACTTTGCCTGTTCTCACCCTACCATATTTTGTATGGCCTATCTTTTCCTTTTACCCTATTACATTTTTCCACGTCCTCCTCTTCCTCCTCTTGACCTGCCACCTTTTGCAGGTCCTCCTCTTCCTCCTCTTGACCTGCCACCTTTTGCACGTCCTCCTCTTCCTCCTCTTGACCTGCCACCTTTTGCAGGTCCTCCTCTTCCTCCTCTTGACCTGCCACCTGATGCGCGTCTTCCTCCTTTTGCCATATTGTCACCTTTCGTACTTCTTCCTCCTCCCACCTTGCGACGCCATGGACATTGTTTTACTGTTCCCGCATTGCCTTGTTTTCCTCCTCCTCTCTGAATCTCGCCACCTTTCCTACGTCTTCCTCCTCCGCTCCTCACCTCGCCACCTTTCTTACGTCTTCCTCCTCCTCTCCTCACCTCGCCACCTTTCCTACGTCCTCCTCCTCCTCCTCTCCTCCCCTCGCCACCTTTCCTACGTCTTCCTCCTCCTCTCCTCACCTCGCCACCTTCCCTCCGTCCTCCTCCTCGTCCTCTCCTCACCTCGCCACCTTTCCTACGTCTTCCTCCTCCTCCTCTCCTCCCCCTTCCACCTCCTCTAGCTTTTTGAATTCTGCGTTTTTCCAACTCTGTGACGTCATTTGATGGTGGTGTGTCTACAAGACAAGAAGGAGCAACATTTTCAACAGAGCCGCAGCTTGTGCACTGGAAAGAACCACCAGGTTCATAACAACGAAATATATTTTCTAGCCCAAATTTGGAAAGCTCCTGCTGCTTAAAGAGCTCAGCCCTTGTCGGCATCCCAGCATCAGCAACATCAACTACTTTGGAAAATACAAAGACGTAACGTCCCCAACTTTGAATGATTTTCTTAATGTTGGCAGCAATGCCATTCTCATTTATATTTTGGTATTTTTCAGAATAGATTATGATGGTGTTGCCCTGGTTTCCTGTTTGGCTGACTTTTATTTTCTCTAGCACATGGGATATTGCGAGTGACTTTGTTGATGCTGTCATTCTTTTGCCTTGATACACGTCACCCTTTGAAACCGCTATTTTCACTGCATCTGGTGGGTCTTCCTGCAGAACCTCCATCAGACGGCTTGGATCTTGGTTCTGTGGTATATTTACAGCCCAACTGGCGGTGTCACCCAGCTGATACCTGTCACAGAAAAACATTTCACAACTGTCAGTATTGGTTTTAGTGTAAAACATTGGAATAAGGTAGAAGGTTTTTAGTAAAGACTTGAACAGATTAGGACAGGTCTATGGGCCAAACAAAACATGTTCATGAAATCACTTTAAATCCAAATAAGCTGCTGCTCAAAGTTTACACTTGCATGTTAAAATGGCGGCAAACACATGCACAATCATATGACTGTACATCTTTGAAAAGCAGAAGTAGATCCTCCTGCACAACCAACAAAAATGCAGCAAATGGTTTCTGAACAGTAGCTAACAACAAGACACTTGTGTTTTCCAGCAGCCATTGTACAAAGCATACAGCAGTAAAACCAGCTTATAAAATGTGCTGGAGCTCTGCTTGGGTTGCTAGGCGACAGGTTGGGCTTTGCTAGGGTTGGTAGGTAACTTCTGGGTTCTGCTGGGATTGCTAGAGGGGCAGTGCCGTCTGATTGGTGTCGTTACATTCAGAAGGCTTTTGAAATGGGTCCTTTTTTTACACACTAAAAAATATCAACTTGATGCCAAAAACGTCTGGGTGGAGATTTTTTGTAAGAGCTTGGGTTGTATTTAAAAGTACTGGTAGTAGAAACCCAAATCAAAGTACAAAACACGTGCAAAGTGTGATATTTTTATACTAACATACATTGTTTCTCCTTTGGCATCTAGGACCACTGGTTTTTGTTATGGTATATTGTGGATTATAAGCCAGAAAACGGCGGTAATGGCAGAGAAAACGTTGTTTTTACTTCAGGTTATAAAACCATTTGAAATCAGAGGCTTCTTTAGCAAAACTGTAGCATCCAAGTGAAGCATCAGGTTGAGTCTTCAATATTAAAACTACAGTCTTAATAATGAAAACATTGCTCAAAAAATATTTGCTTACACTCAGCCCTGTTGAGCACAAGTCAGTTCTCACTATAGAGAGTTCAAGGCCATAGTTTTCTATGCTTCACTCTCTCTGCTTCTGTAGCTTATAGGTAGAACAAAACAAATCTATTACTCACTTGTTCTTGATGGTTTGCACAATATCTGAAAGCCATTTCTGGTCTAAAGCAGCCAGAGTGTTTCCAGCAGACAGGAAGAAGACCACAGTCACCCAGAACAGGCTTTTCATCTGAGCAAGGAAAAATTTACACAGTAAATTATCTGAATTCACATAACAAAAGAAATATTTTAAGCTTATATTTTAGTATTGCATTGTAAGAAACTGCCTATTAATTTGAGTTTGTAGATGCTTATTTTACAGATATGCTTTGTTGTTTTATTGCATAATAAAAAATATCTTAAAAAGTGTTACACCTTGCTGTCGGTAGCCAGCTGAATTTGCTGGTCCAGCTGCCCTAAAAGATCCAAACAAATAACAAATGTTTTATTTATTTTTAACAGTAGCCAGTTTTAATTTAAAGAGTGAAAAGAAGTATTTTTATTAAATGTTCTACCTCTGTGAGATGCAGTTCAGAGGTTTTCTGCTCCACTTGTCCACGTGTTGATGAAGCTGACACACTGAAGAGCTTTATTTTATAGGAGCCTCTCAGTCACAGCAAACCCCTGCTGGAGCGCGTACTGGTATGTGATGAAATGTTATATTTCATCATCTTTCTGACACGTAGATAAGAAAGCAAACAGGAGCTAATAAGAGGATATTCTGAATATTTGAGTATTTGAAGTTTGTAAAAATGTAATTAATTTAGTTGGGGGATTAAAAAAAGATAAAAGATCTAGGAAGTAGATTGTGTGAAGCTATATCCTGATGCACGCTTTTGTCTATTTCTGTAATTTGTTTGAATGTGGAAATCAATGCAACCACAAAAAGGTTTTGGTGGCTGACACCAAACCGACTAACTCAGCTTTTTAGAAATACTATTCTTTGGACAGCTGAGTCTAAAATTATTTATTTCCCTCCCAGAACAGTAAACATGGCATGAATCAAACGCAGGAAAAAAGCAAAAGAGCATCATAACTGTGAAGCACAGTGCTGGAAGAGTCATGATGTGGGAACGTTTTTCTGCAGCAGGACCTGAACCATAATAAAATCCACCATTAATTCAGCTGTGCATCAGGACAGCGGAGTGTTAGGGCTTCTCTAAAGAAAATGAAGAAAATAATATTACAAGGATAAAGTCGTAACATTTGGACAACTATGTTATACGATAATAAGGTTAAAAACATCCAAGAATAAAGTCACAGTATTACGAGTCATAATATTAAGATTATTCTTGCAATATTGTGACTTTAGTCGCTTACAATTTTATTCTTGTGACTTTAGTCTCGTACAACTTAATTCTAATGTTTCAACTTTATTCTTGTGATTTTGTAACTTTATTCTTGTCATTTTTCTTTTTCGTTTTGCCTTATTATGGCCTTAACTCTCCATCATCAGAAGGAGCTTAAGGAAAAGATGAGACCCTTTTCCATAAAAATGATTATTAACCTAAAGCAGAACTGGACACTGCAACATAACAATGACCCAAACATGGACGACTTAAAACAGCTTTACAAACATGAAACCTCAAACATCTAACAGCTGGAAGACTGATGTAAGAAACTGGTGAATGACTGAGATAACTATCTAGCTGAAGATATTTTGATCACTTTGTGAATGTTTCTTTTGAAACAAATGAATTTTTGCACATTTTTCACGTGTAAATATGCATTTATTTACACCAGCTATTTGCGTAATGGTTTGGCCACATAAAACTGATATCCTCAGCCAATTAAAAACTAAAAACTTCTCCTTGGTCTCACCGTTGTGGGAACCATTTCATGTGTGCAAAGCTGACAGCAGCTTCTTCATTAATTCACTCCATGTTTTGTGAATTTGCATCAGTAATAAGAAAAGTGTACAGTGGTGTCAAGAGATATAGGATTACAAATTGGTTTTTGTTAGGATTTATAACGTACTTGTTTTGTAGTGTATACATTTTTAACGTAAACATATTTTAATTTAAAAAAAAGCCTTCACTTGGACGTAAATTATTCTAATTGAAATAAACCAGAGAGGAAAAGAACGTTTCTAATACATATTTCAACATCAGAGTAGATTTTATGTTGTCAGGTGGATGATATGTAGAAAATTCCAGCGTGACTTTTAATGTGTAATGTTGCTGTTTTTGCAACACGTTCATTTCCTCTTTTCTGTCTGCAGAGAGAACGGCGTGTCGCTGCAGTTTAGACATGAACCGTGAAATGCTTCATCATGAGGTAATGACCGTCAGAAAAGCTGTAGTACAAAACACATTTTCACAACATCTCTTATCTGCATCCATCATGTTTGCTTTTGAATGGTTACCAAAAGAAGTCGAGACAAACTAAGCTAGATTTGATGATAGTTTGAAAGCAAAAACTCTGAACTCTGAAGGTTATTTACAAAACACTTAAATGAAAGCAGTGGTAGGTAAAGTATCTACAAATTTTACTACTTCAACAAATGTTTACTCAAGAAAAAGTAAAAAGTAACAGTCCAAGAAAAACTCAAGAGTAAAAAAGTAAAAGGTCTGCTTAAGTACTGAGTAGATGATCAAATTATCAATCATTTAATATTTAAAAATTACATCGTCAGATGGACCAAAATATAAAGTTAAGTAGAAATGTTGACAATGATTTAAAAAAAATAAAATATTTCAAACTTTATATAATTGTGACTAATTTCCTTGTATAGCTGTTTTTATAATGATTTTTGTACTTTTTGTTTGTTCATCTGTTGATGCTCATCTGAAGCTTTATGCTTTTCTCCTGTTTCTAGACAGTTTTTGATTCTTTTCTCAAGTTTTTAAGTCCCGATTCTTTTGTCTTTTCTACATAGACTATTGATGATGGTCATATTTTTATTTTCTTAAAAACAGAGATCTTCATATCTTCTCTGTATGAATACTATGAAGTTGCTTCTGGTCTTACACATCTGTGGTTATTTACATTTTTAATCGACTTTGAAATAATTACAGTCACAGTGCCTTTGTAATCCCGTGGTTTTAAGTTTTCATTTTGAGCAAACCGAGTGATTTACATAAATGCAATGACTTCTAATGAGGCAGTTTTTTTGTTATGAGTACCAGGTTTATTATAACGGTAAATCAATATATCAGCTGTTTAATAACGAAACAAGACGTGGGATTTTGATTGCAAGCACATGAAGTGAAGTTATGTTGTCAGCTGCGCAGCATTTTGAAGGGAAGTTCTTGGAAACTTCAGGTCCTTGTTGCTAATTTTCTCCATCACCTGCACCTGAAAGAACAGTGACAATATAAATAAGTTGAATGTGTTAAAATTAAACAGAAATTTAGTCAACTCTTGTACTTCTGGCACTGTAACATAAAAACAATTTGACAAAACAATGTAATACTTTGCAGATCATTTTGTTTTAAAGGCAGGAATATAACATAAAAAATACTTCCTTCATTTGTAATTATCCCACTTTTATTTCTGGCTTGTTACGGATTTTCTGGATTAAAAATGTACCGTTTTAATACAGATTTGATTAGATCATTTTGATTTAGGCTGCCTCACCATTTGAAGATGCTGGAGCTTCTTCTGGTTTACTTGCTTTTCCAGTGAGTTTTTCCCTGGCAGGAAATAAAACACGGCTTGTTAGGATGACAATAGGTTATTTTCTTATTGCATATAAACTGAAGCCTTGTGATAAAAAAGGAAAACAATATATCATTTTGAGTGGTAAAATAAAACTACATCTGTAACACCCTTAAATGCATATTTCCTTGTTTTGGCTCATTTAGCACTATGAGCTAAATTCACCATTCAGCAGGATTTGGGTCATAAATAATGCATTTGAATAAGCTAGGATAACCATCTGCAGCATAAAGGTTATATGAGCTCATTGTAGTGTAATGATGTAGAGGTTTTTATGACACGTCAAACAGAATATGCAGTTTTTCTGAGCATTTTTAAAGTTACTACAACCCAAATATAATGAAAGGTTTTCGATGAGATTTTAGAAAACGTGTAAAGTCTGAGCGGCATGTATCAAAGTATAAGGGACTATTTAACCAGTGAAGTAATGAACTGAATCAGGTTTTTCTGAAAATATCCATTGCCAGCATTGCTACATGTGTCAGTTTACTCCTCTCTGCTCTGAAAGTCGGGTTTTTGACTCCACCACTTTGCCAAACTGAAGTAGTTTTATAAAACAACAAAACATTTTGAAGGTGGTTTAACTGCGGTAGGTTTATCTTTCACAAACTCACATTTAGCTTCAAAATCTAAAACTTTAAAGACAGTAGAAGACAGTAGACACAACTAAATGCGGCTCAAATGTTTTACAGTGTGCATCAACACTAATGATGTACCATATTCCATGAGTCCAGTGACTTACTTTATTTTTTTCCATAAACCTCGAGCATCTCTGTCGTGTGGACTTTGCTCTTCAGCCGTGGCTCCAGTTGACAGAAGAAGTCCCACAATCACAACCATCACACAAAGTCCAGTCAGCTGTTTGATTAAAAGAGGCTTTAATTCAGAGCTGTGACAAAAAGTTACTATAAACAAGGAGGACAATAAAGGCTGAAATTTAAAATATATGTCAGCGAAAGAGAGACTGGAGTGTTTCTGGATTCTTTATAGAGTAAAACATATAATAGTTTAAGATTGAGGAGAACTTCAGCATCTCACCTTCATTATTGCGTCTTAAAGCAGTTCCTTTGTTTAAAAGGCTTAAAAAGAAGAAAACATCTGATTATCTAAATATTTTCTGCCATATGTGTACTGTAGCATTTTGGAACAGACATCAGAGTCTGTGTAGTTCAAAACAAAATCACATTTTAACAAATTCTTCCTTCTGTCAAAGTGTTTTTCATTAAAATGTGTCTTTTTACCTGAAAGATGGAGCTTCAGAAGGTTTCCTGTTTCAGTTCGCTTCCTGTGGTGAATCCACTGAGCAGCCAAATGTCATTTTTATAGAGAAATGAGTGGATGGCTGTTTGCCTTCAAAAGTCATTGGAATCTTATCTAAACATTCAAATTGGGTTTTTTATTATTATTCAAAAGAAGGTAACAGAAAGGGACTCCAAGATAAGGATGGTATCCGTTTTTGTCTTTATGAATTTGGAGCAAATACCCCAAAACATCTTTAAAATTACAACATTGACTTCAAATTCAAAGATATATACTACTAAAGATTGTTAGAAATGGTCATTATCAGATTTTCCAAATACACAGAATTAAAAATTAACATTATTTTAAGCATTTTTCAATTACCCTAAACAGGGTGTAGTGTAATAATTCCTGTTTCAGACTTTAATTGAAGCCTTTCTGAGAAGATTTTGTGTATTTTACCTCAGTCTGCCTGGGTTTCCCACCCAATACTCTCCTTTCGCCTAATGTCTACTTTTAAGAGATTCCCAATAAAATAGCACAGACATTTACATTTATTGCTGGTGAGACGTTTTACAGAAGAGTAGAGGAAACATTAGACATAACTTTTTACTTCTTGAAATACTCAAAAACAAGTATGCTTGATGGTCTTTATTGCATTTGTCACGCCTTTGGAAAGGCTTCTATGTGCATGTTTTATCTTTAACGTTCACAGCAGTTAGTGGCATTCAAATTCATTCATGTAAAATGACTCCAATGTGTAGTGATAGTAGATATTGTTATTGAAATGTCCAATTTATCTGAGAGAAAGGGCAAATAATTATCTTTTAACTTTGTGCAGGGTAGTAATAAAACTGCATTACAATAACTGACTTCGAATTGAGCTGCATTTAGCTGTGTCTACTGTCTTCTACTCTTTAAGTTAAATAAAGGTCAAGTTTTAGATTTTAAACCTAAATGTGAGTTTGTGAAAGATAAACTTACAGCAGTAAGTTGTGTTAACTTTTTATTAATTTTGTCAAACCTGAAAGAGTTTAATAAACTAGAGTTTTCAGGTTAGCACTTAAAAAACTGAAAGAAGAAAAAGACAGGAGTGGGAACTATTTCCCAGAATGCTTAGCGGCATGTTTCTGTATCCTGAGATGGAAGAGCGTCACATTGATCCGACTCTGGTCTTTTATTAAGGAAAATGTTTATTTTAAAGCATGAGGATAATGTCCTGTTTACACTGAATGTTTCTAAGCCGAATTCATTGTGAAGTTTAATAAAATTCATCATCAGATC